ACCCCTTGCCCGGCAGTCATAGTATATGTATAAAGAGTTTCAAAAATGTAAGAGTGTATCTCTTCAGAGATACAACTATGAATTCCACCCACACTAGTTATTGTATATGTCATACCATAATCTAGTTTTACCATAACGTTAACTTATACAGCGCGGAGAACCTAACGGGTAACCGGGGCTCCGGCTTGACGTGCAGGAGAAGGAACGGGGTGGTTTTTAGTCAGTAAGAGTCTGACACTCCCTTCCGCCTCACCCAGCGGGAGCAGTCATTCGACGAGGCTCATAATTATGCACATAAGTCGAAAACATAATAATTAATTAGTTTGTCTTACAAAAGTTTTAATAAAACACTCATGTTCAATAGGTAGACAGGCGACCTAATAAGGACCAACCAACACTTGCTGTCAATTAACCAAAGGTATGCCGTATACGCAGACGCAGATATACGCAGGAACGTATATATATATATACGCGGGGCACAATGTGTTTTCTATTGTCTCTCATATGCCGTGAAGAGGTTGAAATAAAAAATTTAAAATAGTAATAATGTTATTCCGCCTGCCATTTTGATTTACGTGTAATAATTACCGTTTCGGCAGGTGCCACAGTTATCCACAGTTCCCAATTTATCGGTCCACAGCAAAACATCCATAGTCCTACCTTTTTTTCCATTATCTACAATAGTTCTTAGTTCTACACTAACCGGGGACTGTCCTTGGGTGCATTTCCATAGTGCATACAGGGATAGTCGCCGGTTTGTGTGTCCATTACATTTATATTAAAGTTGTTTAAAGGGCCTCTGCGTAGTTGGCTTCGGCCCCTCGTACGCCTCCCAAATGATTGGGACCTGTGGTTCCATGAATGGTAAAGACCCACCACACACATATTAATACAACTTTGTAGTAGCGGTGCATATAACATACGTAATACGTATATGTTAAGTGTGGGAGAGCCATGCTTCGGCACGAGTGATACCACGGCCTTACAGAAAACCGACGTGAAGCAACGCTTGCGTTGTGTTTCGTCGTGTGAGTGACGTTATCGGAGGCTCAATTAACCTCCCCTTCCCCAATATCCCCAATTCCTGAATCCCCAACGATCCTCAAACTCCTAATCCCCAAAAAGCCGGTAACGCACTTGTAACGCCTCTGATGTTCCAGGTGTCCATGGGCGACGCCGATTGCTTACCATCAGGTGATCCGAGTGCTCGTTTACCGGCTTATCCCATAAAAAAATTCATACGTTACGTACCTACCTAATATTTAAATCTTTAACTTTTACATTTTCAATCCTACAGTCAAGCGAATTTAGTTCTACTGACTTCCTCTTTAAATACAAATGTTCCGTGTAATGTAGTGGATAGTGGATGCATTTTATTCTTAATTTTGAATAATACTGGTACTACGTTACAAAGTTACAAAAGCTTACTTAGTTAAATTACTGCAGTGCAATTTTACAAATGGATCTCTGCAAAGTGCAACTTGGCATTGTACGTTACTCGTTCCACCAATGTATTTAATTGTAAATAACACCATGTAATACTTAACGAACAAGAGAAATACAGAATTTAATACCTCTATTATGAACATGCATACATAATTATGATGAATAAATAACTTGACTTTTTTTACATAACATAACAACACGCCTTTTATCCCCGAAAGGGTAGGCAGAGGTGCACATTACGGCACTTAAACTGTCAAACACCAAGCGGTCACCGGTGACCGCAACCTATTGTTCTTTAATTGTGTCTATAAATACGGTGCTCAACGAGTACTTACTTAATACCATTGTTCAATGTAACACCCACTTTTCACTATTTTCGTTATGAGTCCCATGTAATAGGGGGTGAGTTTGACTTTTTTTAATTTGGTTTAAAATTGAGAATAGTTGATTTGCCAATTTGTCAACCCCTGCAACGCTCGAAAACCAAAATGTAACAGACAGTCTAAAAAAGACACAAAAAGATATTATTGCCTAGTTCGATGCATTCTAATCCCATGCTAACTATGGGATTAACTTCCTCTACAAAAAGTTGTCACAATCTATGCTCTTGACAGACGGATTGGATATTCCAGCTTCAGGTGAATGCCTAGATAGACCTCGCCATACATTTTTCAAGTGTGGAAATCTCCGTAAATATATAGTTTCTGCAGAATAAATGCAACAAAATGAGACTTTATAATGTATTATGATCGCGTATGGCCCAAATTTTATATAAAAAACAGTATTTCTAGGAGAATTAGACCGAATAAAAAACGAAAGATTGAAAGATAGCACTGGCTTCTTGATGTACAGTACAGTACAACATACTAAAACTTATTACTTAAAATATTGTCACAAACAAACAAACAATAAATCTAACCTTTCCCCTTGCGCGGGCCTGCGGACAGCGAACATGGGTGGCTCACCGCCCGACCAGAACCAGACCCGAGCGTACGGCGCATCGCTATCCGCGCGCGCCTCAAAGAGCCATCAGACCACCACGGATGGGGCCCAATAGGGCTAATGCCTATACAGAGTCGCTGAGAACCTTACGGATTACCGGGGCACCGGGTCGAAGTGCAGGAGTAGGAACGGGGTGGTTTTTAGTCAGTAAAAGTCTGACACTCCCTCCCGCCAGGCGGGAAAAGACATTCGATGATTTTCGCCCATTAAAAAAAACCTTTCCCCCTTTATAATATTAGTGTTGAAGGACTAGTAGAAATAATATTAAGATAGCACATTACATTAAAGTCACTACAAGTTATAATCATATTTTTGTCATAAAGTTAGTGTCGAGCGGAAAATCTTGTCCATTTTACGCGCGCCATTTCTTTGTAAGGCAGAAATTATGCAGAGATGCTACCTACGACCTACTAAATGAATACATGAATATGAATGCCCCTAGACAACTTTCAGAGTTCCTTATTGAATTAAAGAAATTGCACTTTTATGTCAAGGAAATTAAGAAGAAGAAGGACTTACCAGAGCTACTCATAACATGACATCACGCCTTTTTATCCCCGAAGAGGTTGCACACTACGTAAATTAATGCCACTGTACAGTTAACACCCATTTTTCACTATATATTTTATGAGTCCCATGTAATAGAGGGTGAGCCCATTGCCATATACCGGGCACAAATCCAGCCTCCGTGCCACTACTGAGAATTTTCAAAAAACCCAGTAATAGTTTGCCTGAACCGAGAATCAAACCCGAGACCCCTTGCCCGGCACTCGCACTTGCAACCACTCGGCCAACGAGGCAGTCTACTCATTCAGCTATTTAAGATTATTTTTGTTTACCATATAGGTAAGGCAAAAATGGTTTAAAAAACGTAGTTTATGACTTTATGCTCTGTCGATCGTGCATTAACAGTACCACACAATAACATATTACACAATCTAGAACAATAATTTGCCCAGATTTAACTCGGAAACATGATCATAAACACGTCTATTAGGTACATTAATAATTAAGTTTTGTACTGATAAATGGAATCACTAATTTAGATAAAAAGTTATAAACTTTTTGCTTCGGAGGCTAATCTTTTAGCACTGCATGCTTAACAATCGCAATTGAACTTACAAAATATCTTTATAAAAACTATCGTGAGACATACTAAATTAACTAAAAATCCCGGATTATTCACGTGAACATACTGGCAGGCTGCGAGACATCGCCGCGACCCCGCACGCTGCCCATAAGTAAGAACCCCTCTGTGGCTCGAAACTAGTAGAGCTTTTCTCAATATATTCACGTGAGTAACCCGCGATTTTTAGTTAATTAAAAAATATTGTTAACAGGCAGAACCCTTTCAATTGTTTTTTAACTGAACTCTCATTTGTAAGAAAGTCCAATTAAAAACTGCAAGTAACTTATATTACTTACTCTCTAAGTTTCGCTTCGCTCGTATTTTTACGGCTAGTTTTATTTCACAAGTTTACTTAAGAGGCCGTGGAGATCTTGTCTTGGATGAATAAATATTGATCGTACATTTTTAGTGTACAGACAACTGTACAGGTTTAATTTTGTTTTATATACATAATTCCTGTCGCAGCGCGCGTCAGCACTTTTGTACGACTATAATAATAATAATGCAGCCTTTATTCAAATTTAGATCAGTGTTACAAAGGAAAATACATTAAAAACTTAATCTAAAAATAATGTAAATACTTACTTATCCCTTATATAGCTTTTGTAAAGTTTTTGGAAATCTGTTTGCCAGTCGGCAAAGGCCTCCTCCAACCTTTTCCACTCTCTTCTTTCTTGAGCCACTCTGTTCCATGTGACGCCTGCCACTTATCTAATATCAATTTGTACGACTATTTAAACTGTATTATTAGCATTTTATATGACTGCACTTTATCATTTTGTATCAATAAGTATCAATATACTCTCGTCTCAGAAGTTTGTACGCGATCATCGTGTCTATATCAACGAGAAGCAGTCAACATATCAACTATCATCCAAGTGTAGGCGTTTACAACCCCTACATTTAGTTTAATATTTTGGAATTTGTGCGTGGTAACGTCCAAGAGGCAATGCCGCTGTGGCCAGACGTGTAGAGCTGAACATAATACGTAAGCGGAGAAATGATGCTGATAATTATGTGTTTCATATTTATCTTCCTACGTTACAAAAACTTTCTTTTGATCATTGTTCTTAAATACGCTTGCTTCTTGCATCGATCATTGTTTTTGTCTCTGCATCACCCAAAGGTCTGGCTGGAGAAGAATGCCCATGGCATTAAGCCTATCTTGTACATTAGTGTGTGCATGAAGCCTTTTAAAATAAAATAAAATAAGAAACTTATTTTGCTCGCTATCACACGACAAAATGATTAGAAGTATAAATGAAAATTTTGTATTAAATCAGAAAATCGTCTATTACAGATATTTAAATCTAAATGAGTAATACTACAATATCATAACTATTACAGTAAACATGTCTTCAAAAATGAAACAAATAAAATCACAGTAAAGAATTAAAATGATTAAGGTGAAAGTTTTTGATTACTAGGTTTCCTTTGGCTTTTCAGCTTTGTCGGCGGCAGCAGCCGTGGTTGATGATGTAGCAGCCGTGATCGCTGACGTGGCAACTGCGGTAACTGATGTAGCAGCCTTGGTGGCTGTTTCAGCAGACGGCAACGGTTCATCAGGAAGTAATAAGCCATCAGCAATCATTTTCTGTCTCCTAGCCTCGTCTCGAGCCTTCTTCTCAAGTTCTCTCCTTTCCTGCTCTTCTTTCTGGGCCTGCGCCTTCTTTATGGCCAATTCAGCTAAAGTCTTCTGATCAAGCTTGAAATAGTTAATCGGTTCCTTAAAGAATCGCATATCTCTATTATTTAAGTTCTCCACAAACTTTCCGTAGCAAAACTTGCCATCTTGTTGGTTATACGATTTATCTCTTATAGCCAACTTAATCCAATCCATAAATTCTATCTCCAAAAGCGGTTCGCCCCATTCCATAAGTTCTTGCTTGAATAGTTCGAAGTCTACAAAACCTGTTTCTTCGTCGTCATGTCCTAGTGCAGCAATTGCACGTGTTATATCTATCTCGAAGTCATCTCCAAAGTTCACTTTAGCTTCTATCATTTGCAGAAATTCGTGAAACTCCACTGTATCAACAAGATCATCTTCTAGAAACGTCACGAACATCTGATTTACTTCAGCTGTTTTCGGATTTAATCCTATCTTCCTTAGCATTGTCGGTATCAGTGTTATAGGTACCTGCAGAATTTAAACAAGAATATTATTATTATGAATTTAGGTGAATATTTCACACAAATAATAATTGGTGTGGAAAATTCGTTCTATAAATTTTGAATAGCTTATCTATTTTCCATATTATGAGCATTTGAATAATTTTATAACACAGCCGGTAATGCGTGTAATCAAGAGTGGTTACATTTTGTAGATAGGTACCTACACATGACATGCTGCTTTCATTCCCTAATGCTGATGGGGTAGGCGGAAGTGCACATGTTAAATCAATTAACTATAGGTTCTAGCCAAAACTGAATTTGAACCAACTAACTGGTTGTTTGAGAGTTGCATTTGCAAAACTCTTTCAAATCAACTTGCTTGAGAGTTAAGAAGGCTTAATTTTATGTACATACCTAATTTTTTTTTACAAATAATGATTCCTCTTGCACATGACAAGAAATACGTCTCTAACAAATGATCACAAGAAATACTTAATTCTACTTCTTTCTACCTTATCAATCTGTTCCTCGTCATATAATCTAAAGATTTCTTTGTATTTCATTATATCTTCGGCAGTGAAACAAGCTGGTGGAGGCGGTATCTTCTTCGGCTTTGGAGGTGCACCTGCCAATTTCAAGGCCGACTTTTTCTCTATCTTTGGTGGTCTTTTGTTCTTTACTTTCGGAGCCATCGTTACTTAATGAAATCTAATAAAACCTGATAAAGTATGATATTTGAAAATGCGTAACGAATTTTGCTTATGTTAATGCTTAATGAATTGAAAATGAATTATTTTATGGCTTTAAAATACTTAGTAAAAATAATCTTTTTAAAATAACAGATAAATGCTATGTGATAAACTTCATTTTGACGACTTTGACAGGCGTTATTTTTCATTTCAAACCAACGTTCTTGGTTTCGACTTCGACCAAGTTTCGACATTGGATATACCTACTTTTGTTCTAAAAAGTACTTAATACACGACATACAAACGTGCAAATGGTGCAAATAAATTGTATACAAATAAATCTATTGGTGGGACATGGAGCTCGGGTAACGAACGACTAACGGAATAGATTCCCTACTGCGGCCGAATTTAGAACATTCAGCTAAATAGCAATTTAAGCTGGGTGGCCACGGATGAAATCGGATTAGAGGCCCGCGATCAAACCACCAACACGAACCGAAGGACCAAACCAGCCATCCGAAAATAGGGCTGTCCGTAGTCACCCTGCCCTTTGTACATGTAGTTTTAAAAACTCCAATATAAAACAACAATAAGGTTGGGCGCAGGCTCTTGTTTGTTTACGTTCTCGTATAGAACACATGAGTAGAGCCTCAAATTGCTTTGATCCTGCACAAAACCCGGATACCCGTGATATAAAGGACTAACAAAACTTTCGAAACAAAATAAGGCAGTTTATGCATCAGCTGAGCGTGAATTTAGTAACGGAAATCCAATATTGTCTGTTGTATGGCAGCCCTGGAGAATTGCACATTTTCCGAACGGACACCTGTGTTAAACGGCTTAAGGATTGAATTCCATTAGATTTGTTTACATGACCGGGTGGAACCAGTGTAGGAAATAGGCAGGATTTAAATAACGATACATATTGACTTTGACTTTGATTAATTTTAATTCGAAACGGGCCCAACTGCCCACTAATGGCCGAAGTAGTTACTCTATCTGTATAATGTGTGATATAATTAACTAGAGTTCTGCTAGTTTAACTTGTGAAACTGAAAACTATAAGCTCAAAGAAATTACTTGAATAAATAACAAGAAAACAATTATAATATTTATAAATTACTGGCAGATCGAAACAAAGTTGGTATCCCCTGACATATACTAAAATAAAATAAGTATTATAATAGTACTTAGGTGCATAGACAATAATACAATAATATCTAAATATACCTACATATTGTTAGAACATAGTGTTACTTCGCTACCTCAAATATCAATCAACGTTACTTTAAATAATAAATAAAATATCAAAACTTCGGTGTGCTTTTTGGCGTTCTGTATTCTGCGCACCTATACCTACATGACCTAATGTACATAGCATATACCTTATGCTTTATATTTCAATTAACTTGATGTCGTCAAAAAATAAAAAATCACATCATAAAAATAAAAAATCACACGGGCCCATAAACATGAGCAGCAAGTGTATTTAAACAAACACGATTCAACGAAGTTCATATAATCCATCTCCTACTATTGACTTTTGCTACAACCTAATTTCTTCTCCTCTTATAATATCTTCTGATTTATTTCGTTGCGGGAACCAAAACAGTTATTTATGTCCCTGGGACGCGCCAGACTTCAGTGTTCTGGTGTCCTCATGTTTGTGTGTTCTGTAGATCCTGACTGACAGGAGTTGCAGCGGTTTTGGAGGCTGTGGTAGGCTTGTCCCATAAAGAGAAAAACCTAATAAAGTCATCATGTTCTTATGTCTTCTACATAGAATTGAAAAGGATGTTCCAAAGTAATCTTCTACTTGTAAGTACTCCAAATTTTATTAGAACGTTGAACTTTAGTAGATATTTAACCAATGACCTGTTTTCTCCAATTAGGAACACAACATTTAACCTTAATTTTACAGACGCTAAAACCGAAGTTATTGGTAAGGGAGCTCAATAAACCGTCGCGGAATTGCTATTAACAATCCAAATGTACTAAATGCCCTGTCGTCAACCATTAACAGTGCCACCTTTTCAAGTAACTACCTCAAATAAAAACAAGCTCGGCTACACTCCGCACTATATTGCATTTTATAAATATAAAGCTGTTAGGGCCATTCCATAAAGTTAAAAGCAATTTTAATGAAAGTGTCAGTAGGTACTACATAACCACATTTTATGTAGGAGACGATGGATGTTGGTACATCCATTTTTAGACTTTATTTGATCATCGCCCTACATCGTATAATAATGTATCGTAAAAGAGATTTTTAAGTACGTAAATATGTTCGTAATACTTAATGGCCAGTTAGCAATAAATCAAACCATTCAAACACACGTGTTTGGCGTTTTTCCAATACACAACAACCGAAAGGAAAGTAGATAATCTATGGGCCTGCTTCTTACAATAAAGGCTTGTTGAAAAGGATACTGCGATATTTTTCTATTTCGGTTAAAATGATTAACATGTTAACCATTTGCTACGCTTACGGCACAAAACTATACGGCTAAACCATGGCTTCTTTTCCATGGGTTATTATGTATTAAAACTAATTAATATACAGCTGGAACTATTTGATTTGGATTGAATCACCCACTTCGGACCATGTTGACTTTTAACTCAATACGATCAGTACCGTCTTTACCCCGGCTGCCGCGCAACGTGTAGCGGGTTCGATTCCCGCACGTAGCAAATCTTTGTTTGATCCACAAATTGTTGTTTCAGGTCTGGGTATCATGTGCATGTGAACTTGTACGTTTGTAAAAGCACCCATGATCCAGAAGAAAATCAGTCACAGGTACGATACCAGCGACCTCAATTATTGCAATTTTTTGCCAATCTGTAGGAAGCTACTTAGGATCGATTCACGTCATGATCATCAAGCCCAAGCCATTCAAGTTTTGTTACCCAAAAATGAAAGGATACATAATCACATGAAAATATGTACATTAATACTAAAACCATGTCTTTAATTATTACTATTTTATTCCAAAATCTTAAAATATTTGAATTTAATTTTTGTACGGATCAATCTTGGATCAAACATTGATTGAAACGATTTGCAATTTGCAAAAACTAAACGTTCGCGTTAACGTTCGGAAACAGTACAGGAATTTCTTTGGGTTTCACGAAAAGTGCATAAAACTAATCAGTATTCTTTTTATGAAGTTGCTTTTAAAGCATTATTATTAGTAATGCTACTTTATTAATCGACATAAAATATAACAATATAACAAAAAGTCTATTTAAAATCAATAAAATTCATATTTAATTAGTTTTAGAACGCATGAGGAACTGACGCCAATTTTGACAGTTAGTCTAATGAGTCCTCGCTACGCTAGCGTTTACGTTGTGGTAATAAAATATAACAGGAAATAATTGTTTTAATTCATAACTTTAGTGTTTTTATTTATCAAAACCAAGATGGTAGCGCGGGTGGCTGGTGTATTTGACGAAAAGTTGACGGAAGCCATCGCTAATTCTAAGATATTGGTGGTGGGCGCCGGCGGTATAGGTTGTGAGATACTGAAGAATCTCGTGCTAACCGGCTTCCCAAACATTGAGATTGTATGTACTGCATTTGTTGAATATTTAGATTGATATTGTGGAGGTGCGAAATCATTAGTCATGTGTTTATTATTACAGATCGACCTTGATACTATCGACGTAAGCAATTTGAATCGTCAGTTTCTTTTCCACAAAGAGCATGTTGGAAAGTCGAAGGCGCAGGTGGCGAAGGATAGTGCGCTCAGTTTTAACCCTAACGTGAACATTGTTGCCCATCACGACAGTGTTATCAGGTTAGTCATGCTTTATACATATTTTTGAATGCTAAACATGTATAATCAATCTCATTCAGTTGAATGGAAAATATAGATGCGAAAGGTCATTGACTTGTTTTTGTATTGCACTTAAGGATTTCAGATACCACTAATTGTAACCATGAAATGACCACTAATTTTGAATGAATACTACCCTACCCGACCTCAAGTTATTTATCAACCCAGTTATTTACACAGAATATTAGACTCATGCAGAATCTGTAGACACCATTATGATACCTATGACTATAATGTTATGGTACAACTGTCCGAGAAACCAATCTGTAACATTTTGTTTTGTTATTCCAGCAATGACTACGGAGTGAGCTATTTTAAGCAGTTCCAGATTGTGATGAATGCTCTGGACAACCGTGTCGCACGTAACCATGTCAACAGGATGTGTCTCGCTGCTAATGTCCCTCTAATTGAAACTGGAACTGCCGGTTATGCTGGACAGGTAATTTGACTATTAAGTACTTAAAATGATTCAGTTTATAAAGAAATTCATGCATTCCATGCATGTAATATTGTTAGAAGTCAAAATACTTCATAGTCAACTTCATCATCATCTCCCACCCATTTCTGTCTATACTGGTCATAGACATAACAAAATGATATTTACAAATATTCAATTCTTGATTCTACTTCTTAACCAACTTTGACATAGACCAAACATTATTCAACCATTTTTTTTAAACAATGAGAATAAAACAATCACACCTAAATATTTACCAATTTTTATTGTGTAATCTTACAGGTGGAACTCATAAAGAAAGGCCTGACTCAGTGCTATGAATGTCAGCCAAAGGCCCCACAAAAGACATTCCCAGGTTGCACAATTAGAAATACACCATCAGAACCAATCCACTGCATTGTATGGGCAAAGCACCTCTTTAACCAACTATTTGGTGAAGAGGATCCTGACCAGGATGTAAGCCCTGACACCGCAGACCCTGAAGCAGCTGGAGAGGCTGGCGCATCAGCATTAACATCAGAAGGAAACACCGCAGGGAACGTAGAAAGGAAGAGTACTAGAACATGGGCTGCAGAGACCAACTATGAGCCCGAAAAGCTATTCTCTAAACTCTTTGGTGATGATATCCGGTACTTGCTGTCAATGGAGAATCTCTGGAAGAAGCGCAGGCCTCCCACTCCCCTTGTGTGGGACAATCTGCCTGGTAAAGACAACCCGCCTGCTCAACATTCAGGATTGCCTGATCAAAGAGTTTGGTCAGTGCATGAATGTGCACAGGTAATTGATACTTAATAATAGTGTCATAAAATTCTGTCACTACACCCCTTCAATTTCGTATAGTTGACTTTCAATTGTAATAATAATACATTAATTCATAATATTATACACTACTTATCCAATTAAGGCATAGGGTAAAGGTTTCAACATTAGGGCTTAACTAACTTTAGAGACATGTTTGAAAATATACTTGTTCATCTTTCAAATGAAAAAAATACAATTTTAATTTAATTTGTCAGTTGAACAAGAAAAACTCATTAAAAAATAATTAACACTACAATGTTAATAGTCTTTCACCAATATTTAAATGCTTATTTGTATTTTTCCATGATTCCTTCTTATTAATTAATAACAAAATTTTAATTTACAGGTGTTTGCAGCTAGCTGTGATGCCTTACAGAAGGACCTGAAGAGTCGTCCGGAAGGAGACCACTTGGTATGGGACAAGGATGAGAAGAGTGCCATGGACTTTGTCACAGCTTGTGCTAATATTCGTGCTCACATCTTCAATATACCACTCAAGTCTAGGTTTGAGATCAAATGTAAGTATTGCATAACATTCTAATGTTCTCACAATCAGTAAAATGGGTAATCAAAAAGATTTCTTATGTAGACCTTCAGTAATTGCTAATCAGCCTTCCATTGTGTATTTTACCAACACTAAATATCATGGTTGTTCAACTCAATTCAACTCTAAAGCATTTATTTCAATTAAATCATAATTAGGTACTTTTGAAACATCAACAAATATAAAATAAATAATAGTTATTTCCTTTATTTATTACTTTACTTGACTTATATGATTTTTAAATATTTGATTATATAAAAAAAAAATATAAAAAGCGATGGTCAGGGCTCCAGAGAAAAGAATTTCCGTTGTAAGCAACCTTACATTGCAGCATTTTTCCCCTAGCAAGGGAGTGGTACAGGTTTACATAGTAATTACAAATTCCATTGTTCACCAGTTATGTGTCCCATGTGACAGATTATTATACTGCTATATATATATGCTGAAGATTTTAATAATAGTATTTAGTTAATATTTAAAAAAATGTAGAAAAAATATTTAACATTATTTTTTAACAGCAATGGCCGGCAACATAATCCCCGCCATAGCGACGGCCAACGCAATAGTGGCGGGGCTAGCAGTGCTGCGTGCACAGGCCGTGCTGAGGGGAGACATTCAAACCTGCACCAGTGTGTACCTGCGACCCAAAGTCAACCACCGCGGACAACTGTTTGTACCAGAGAAGAGTAAGTTGTCTTAAGTTGTTACTATCTGTTAAACAAACCTTTGCAATCCATGTCCCTTACGAAATCATATTACAGGCACATTACGTAGGAAATCAATACCGCATCAGTGCAATGATAAAAAGCGCCGAAACGGCGAAAAAGGCAGATAAATGTTAATATGTTCCTTGATGATAGTCCACAAAAATGCTTTTAACATTCTTATTGATAACAACTATTTTTCTTTGCAGCATTGACTCCACCAAACCCAAAATGTTACGTGTGCGCACCTAAGCCAGAAGTCGGTCTGGCTTGCAACTTGAAGCAGCTCACGCTGAAGGATCTCACATCTGCTTTCAAAGAGGGTCTCAACATGCAGGCTCCTGACGCAACAGTTGAGGGCAAAGGTTTAGTAGTACTGTCCTCAGAGCCAGGAGAAACTGATCACAACAATGACAAGACACTGGAGGAAATCGGCTTAAACGACGGCTGTGCGTTGCTAGTCGATGACTTCTTACAAAACTACGAAGTGAGGGTCAGACTACAACAGGAAGACGAGGAGAAGTCTTGGCGACTCGTCACCGACACTGACGCACCAATGCCAGCTCCTAAAGAAGAGGAGAAGCCGGCTAATGGCTCCAATGGCAGTGACCCGAAACCTGGACCCTCCACCTCGCGGACCCGGGAAGACAGCGACAGTGACATGGAGATCATCGAGGAAGACGACGACGAGCCCACAGTGAAACCCCCAAAGCGCAGGCGCACGGAAATGAGTGATGAAATCGTAAACCTTTGTTAACATAGAATTTTTAAATTTTCCATAGAACACTTTCGACTATTATAAGTCTACGGTCGCAAAACAGTTTTCTACTATTTAATAAGTAAATGTTTAAATACATTTTTATAAAAATATAAAGGCGTTTTGCCTGTTTTAGCAATACATAATATGTTGAGACAAATTAAAATATTATAATGGGTCCTATAATCGAATGTTTAAGACATTTTGCAAATAGTATTAAAATTCGAGAACTATATAATAATTTAAGAACAATTTCTTAGTAATATAAGAGTTATATAACTTTTGTAGTACTCTTGTCTCATTAATAAATTAATTTAGATAAGAACCTGGACTTTTGACCTGTTAAAACTTCCAAGTAACTGTCAACTGAACCTTTGATTTTATCATGTACCTAATTTGTGGAGCAATGAACTCTAACTACAAGATTAATCTAAAAGTAGTTTTGAAGGCTAATTGTACGGTATCGCGGCTCTATCATTATCTTTAGTAAACACCATACTGCGCCAGTGTGATGTCATGCCTCCTCCTTCCCCTTGTTTTCACTAGTGACCACCGACATCAAGAGTAATTTCCCCTCATTTCACATGCTGGTTGGTCCGTTAATTGCGATGCGGTCGACTCATTCCCACGGCCTACGATCATAATAGCGGCCACTGGCCATTGTAATTTGTAAACAATTCTATTTTAATTCGTTTGAAAAGTAAAAGAAAGAAATACCAAGAATATAAGAATTTCTCACATTCTTGAGAAATTCAAGGATTCAGTCAGCAAGAATACTTTACTTTCATATTCAGTTACGCACGACACGGAGCCTGCTTTTTGCATCTATGTCCACCAAAAGAAATACTAAGACGATGCATATTATTGTTGTTGATTTATAGACCTTTGACCCTTCATGTACCGAAACCTTTCAAACGTGGGCTAATGTCGGCAATTTTAGTTACTGAGCACTTCCCAATCCTATTAGTCATAAGGGTGAGAAAGTACGGACGTGCGCGTCATTAATTGAACGTTATTAACGCCCACAATAGGACAAACAATACGTCGGTATGTTGGTGGTCCATTGTTGAATGAACATAAACGTGCAGATATGATAAATACCTACAACACCAAGTGACATACTTTCTCACCAGCAACGATGCAAAGATGGCATTAAAAAATGCCAGCTACGTAAAGTATTCGCTTTGAAGTCCAAGAGGCGATACTTTAGTCTCGAATATGGAATACCTAACTGTTTAGTCATGAAGATAACATAAATTTTAACATAAGCCATAATTAAAATTCATCTGAGCACCGTAACAAATTGCAATTAGTTACAGTCAATTAACAAAGCACGGTGTTTTCCTCAGAAGATGTAACTTGCTACAACAGTTCAGCGAGCGTTAAAATTATGGTCGGTATCTCGACGTATCAACTGCGCACAATCTGAAAGAATCTGTTGCGTTTTAGTCTTTATTATCATTCGAAGTTAATTTTGGAAACAACATCAATGTTCGATTCAGCACATTCGATCGCCCCACTTCATAAATAGCTTTTGCGATTCATTTTATAAGCCGCCACCTACTTTGTTTCAACTTTAGTATAAAGAAAACTGGGTCTGCTTAATAAAAATTAATAAAAAACTATATACGTGCAATTCGCGTTTAATAAAATTATATGGTATTCCATTTTTATTTTATATATTTATCACCCGCTTTTAAACACAGGCGGATTTGACACAGTGCAGCCAAAGAAACAAAACAGCTATAAAAACAAACAATTTATAAGTACAAATTAAATGCAAGTCTTGTCTTAAAAACTCAATAAAATTAAATATTTGTAAACAATAATTTGCCCATTAACTATAAGAGAGTTTTAGCACATGTTTATACTACAAATTACAAAATAATATCAATTATATTATTCTTATTAGTACCCACAAGACAACACAGCTGGAAGTTATGATCTAGTAAGGCTGACACAATCTTATAATTACACAAACTAAAACAACAACTAATTCTAAATATTGCTACCAGTATTAAATGCTACAGATTTTAATAAGTAAGAGGATCTTGCACTATTTATTTAGTATACTTTGGCTATATAATTTACATTAAACATTGATTAAAAAGTGTGTGTTACAAAAATTTTCCTTAAAGTTATTAGTTATACCTTGGCTTATTTCCATGATGAAATGTAAACATTCATGACATGAAATATGACGTTGGTAAAAGATCAACAAAACATGTGTAATCCCTTAATGCAGAGAGAAACATGCAAACATGTATCATACAGTGAGGTAAACCCGTAAACAACCTTCAAGGATAAATCCAACAATAGGTGGGAAACAACATTACCTATTCAAGGATAAAACTAATCATAAATATTGTAGACAGACACCATTATTACACAAATATTGATCCTATTAAAACAGGTGGACAAATAAGCATTAATGTATATTTTTCCTCAAACACACAAACATTTCACTTGTTATTCTACAGAAGTAACATGATAAAATACTTAAAGCTAAGCTTACAATATTGAATTATATAATAAATAATGTATAAACTAAACCCTCTCATTCATAAATGTTCATCATTCATTTTAAATATTTTTTTTTATAAAATAAATTAGATTTTACTTATCAACATTTATGTATGAGGAGCCTTCAAATTATGTTGATTACTTTTCTGGTAGCATTCCATATTCAATGAGGAAGCGTTCCACATCAACTGCAAAGAAGTCATTACCAAGTTCCGTAGCCAGTTGTACAAAGTTGCCGATGATCTGGCCGCCTTTGTATGCTAACAAGGCTGGCACACCATCCACACGGAAGTGACGGCTCAGTCCAGTGATATCTGCTGCTATACGACAAAACTTAGTTGTTGGGTAATCAGTAGCTAATATATTCAGACAACCATCCATAGTTTCACAAGCTCGAGTGGTACTGTTGTAAATGTGAATGATCACTGTAACTTTTGGGTCTTCTTTATCAATAGCATTGAGGAACTCATCTTGACTATTCAAAGTTGTAAGTACACCAAACTTAGGTACCTTTTGCAACTGGCTCATCAACTCCTCCATTCTTTGCTTCTGATATTGCAGCAGAAATTCCTCGTCCATTAATTCTGACAACTCATCTTCAATTTCTTCTTTCTTTTTTTCTTGAGCCGCTTCGCGTTCAGGTTTAACGGTCAGAGTAAGTTTCTTCGCTAAAGCAATTCGTTCTTTGGCGAGTTCCGCACGATTTTCAGCTTCCAACTGCTTGAATCTCCTCCAGTCTTCGAGTACTCCCTTCGGTCCAGTGTTGCTTGCTTGGCCAGTCCAGTTGTTGATGGGTGGTGGTTCAGCATTTGTCGCCACCTGAGACTTTGTAACCTCGCCTCCTTCTTCATCGCCACTTCTATCGTCATCAGACTCTCCTCCTTCATCTTCACTGCTACTACAATAGTTTTGTAACTTGTTACCCAAAATTTTGTCCTCCAAAGTAGCCATAGCTGTTCTGTTACTGTATCTCACAATAGATGATTCACAGTAATAAAAGCGGAATGTATACAAGTGAAACAATAAAATCTAATTTGAACACAGTACACAGTCGTTTACAAGACGTCTGACGCCGAATGTAATTACGTTATTTTCCCGTAACCAGCAGATGTCATTTCAAGTGGTGTTGCAATATTAAATAATGAACCCAAAATCACAAATAAAAGCCACGAAATCTAAAAAATTATGATCAATAATGGTAAATATTTCCACTATTTAGTTTAAGTTCCTATATATTTGTTTACAACATCACAACTGTGTCGCACAGCAGCTATGCAACTTGTGCAACAATGGTGCAACCCATATGAAACATTTTTGTCGCAAGCAATCTCAGCCCGTAATGACAATGACAATATAAGAAATGTCAAAACGGCCAATGTCAAAATGTCAAATCGCGAAAAAAACGTGAACTCGTGGTGGATTGGATTTGTTTACAATAAAAATTAGTGGAAATTACTAAAATAAGTGTGAAATCAATATTCAGTGAAAAGTGCGACAATCCTAAAACGATAAAATGAGTTAGTTCTTTTATCACAATTTCATAATGTATTAGATTAATTAGTAACAAAGTTATTATAGGTAGATATTAATTTTTATAACTTTTAAGGTCAAATATTACAAAAACTACGGAATGTGGATCCAAACGACAGTGATGCGGTGAAAGAAGCAATTACATCGTTTATCCAGAATTTGCTTAAACATGTAGACAACAATAGCAACGTATGTCTGCGCGCGTTGGAAGACGTGTTAACCCGGTAATATAACCTCGAAAAAATATAATATAGAATGGCTTAGCGACTACATCATTCATCACTATTGAGTAACAACTTTAAACACTAGTCACTATTTTTTACTTACCATATTTGATACTATCATATATTTTTTATCCGTACCACCCTAGCCCACCCTACCAAATTCGGCCTATATGTATTAATGTGCATAAAGAATAAAGAAATAAAGTTTAGGAAAAAATAAATAGGACAGCAATTTTTATGTCATTCGGAAATTACTATTACATTGATTGTAAATAAGACACGTTTTATTTATTGTCTATTTTGTTTTTAGATACCCAAGATACTGTTCTCAACACCGGCCTACTATTGAGAAGTTCATAGTTCACTTCTTAGAATCGAGTAACTATTACAATGTTATTGTCGCAGCCAAATGTGCTCATGCCCTGCAACAGGTAAGCTTATTGCCTTTGGGTACACTTAATCTGTCGAACACCAAGCGGTCACCGGTGACCGCGACCTATTGTTCTTTAATTGTGTCTATAAAACCGGTACTCGACGAGTTAATAAATAGATTTAAAAAGAATTATATTTAAAATAGTAAACATTGATAAAGTATCAAGTAGGAAGGTAATAGCTGGCTTTATACACATACAAACACAGTATGGTTTGTGCAGTCATGTTTTGTAACATCTTTTTAGTTTTTACATAATATTTTCCATTGTGATCTTTCAAATACAATTATTTACACCAGTTGTCTTAAAATTCTTATTAAAAAAACTTATTGCAATGAGTCCCATAGGTATAATCGCCATTTATTGCCATTTATAAAAGCAAATAAATTTTTAGTGCTGAAAATATTTAAATAAAAAGACTGCCTCGTTGGCTGAGTGGTTGCAAGAGCGACTGCCGGGCAAGGGGTCTCAGGTTCGATTCCCGGGTCGGGCAACGTATTACTGGGTTTTTAAAAAAAAGCTCAGTAGTAGCACGGAGTCTGGAAATGTGCCCGGTATATGGCAATAGGCTCACCCCCTATTACATGGAACTCGTAACATAAATAGTGAAAGTGGGTGTTACTTCTGTGTGCACCTCTGCCTACCCCTTCGGTGATAAAAGGCGTGATGTTATATTATGTTATGAAAATATTTAACTGTACTTATCAACAATGTCTATTATAGCAAGTTAATTTTGTATTTGTTCCAGATTCGTCCGTCACAGGACAAGCTGGCTAGTCCAAAAAACTGCTGGAGGGAACAGATGTCTATACTATGTAACAGCGCTCACACATTGATAGAAGCCATATTTTCTAACACTATCAATATTTACAAAAATAACCGCAGTGTTCAGGTAAGGATACTATAAAATAAACTTATCACCGGGCCTACCCAGCTGCTATATAGCTGATATAAGTTCTTATAAAAGAAAAAGTGTGTTTATTTTTTTGTCTTGCTTTCCCTGTTTAATGTAGCAAACGAGTTGGTATGATTTTCGTATCTACAGATAATTTATTTACAACCTTCCCTTTTAGACATCATATTATTATCATTCCATGCGTCTTTCCCTCGTGTGTAATTTATAATTTGCTTTTTCCACCTAATAATGGCTTTGGCCACCATAACGGTGGCCTGGAGGTTTAAAACGCCCGCTTTTCATGTAAGAGGGTGCGGATTCGAAACCTACCAATGGCAAGTACCAATGTGACTTTTTCCGAGTTATATGTTTAAGATTATCTCGACACCAGTGACCAATGGTGAAGGAAAACACACGTTCGCGTTACCCAGGCCAGATGTTGTCAAAAATGGTAATTTGAATCTTATAGATAATTAGTTGTGCGGCTTCTGTAATTGATGCACACATTTTTAAATTTGTTGCGCTTATAGTTTTTTAATTATTTCACAAAAATATTTTCTGCTGGGGTAACGTTACCCCAGCTAGACCTTTTTCTTTCTAATGGGAATATTTAAATAATTACTAGCTATAAAATTAGTTGTCTAGATGAAGTAAATGTTGTGCCCTTAAATTAACGTTTAAAGTAAGTCTAGAGCTCTAGTAAGCTTATTGAGAGTGCTGGGACCAATTGATGTGTTTTTCTATTTAATGAAATAACTTTTAAGCTATGTATTATTTGGTTTTTATATTGCACGACAAATTTAAACTAATTCCTAAGAAGCCATGTACAAAATATGATAAGAATCCGCTTAACCATTTCAAAGATCTAGCAAAATCAAAAACGTTACCCCAGCAAAATCTCGAATAACTTCGCAACCGATGAAAGAACAAATACAAAACAAGGCACAACGTTTACTTCATCTAGACAACTAATTTTATAGCTAGTAATTATTTAAATATTCCCATTAGAAAGAAAAAGATGTGGCTAGGGTAATGTTACCCCAGCAGGAAATGTTTTTGTGAAATAATTAAAAAACTATAAGCGCAACAATTTAAAAAAATTGCGCAACAATTACAGAAGCCTCACACCTAATTAACTATAATATTCAAATGACCATTTTCGACAACATCTGGCCTGGGTAACGCACACAAGGAAAACATCGTGAGATAACCTGTAACTTTTGTAATTGCCAACCCGCATTGAGCAAGCATGGTGATTAATGCTCAACCCTTCTCCGTGTATGAAGAGGCTGTACTCAGCTGTGGGCCTTTCACAGCCTATAAGCTGTTGATGATGACGATGATAAGTTGCTTCAACAAATAAAATCTAAATTACATTTGTTTTACTTTTTCAGAAAAAGGATGTTGAACTCTTAGGCAACAGTGCACTGACAGTAGCATTGTCAAACATCTTGAATATAAAGAAAACACACGGGTCTAGCAGTGAGGAGAAGAAGATGGTGCTTTGTAACAAGCTTAGGAATGTATTCGTCTTCATTCAGGCGATGTTGGTGTAAGTGTGTTTCAATATTTTATATTATGGTTTGAAACAAAAATATACTATGTAACTTCAATACAAACTGCTTTGTTAGTCAATACAAAGTGCAAATACCAAGTATAATTAAGTTCTGTTTAGTAGTGCCCGGAAAGTTGTAGTATGGCAGTAAAAACTCACCCTAATTCATACACCAAATTATATGAGACTCAATACCATAACTGGGCTAAATTAATTAAATATTTAACTACTTAGCACGCATTAGACTTCAGGGTTGATTGTCATACAAGGTTTAACTTTAAGGAACTTAATACGTTGATATATAAAAGTAGTCTCTAAACATCGGAAATAAGGTCTACAATGGAGTTAGTAGACAGCGGTCACGGTGACTGCTTGCTAATAACTATAACTAATCCTAATACTATTTACAGGGAAGTGTACCCAGTAGCTAAGCCGGTGCAACCGCAAGTGATATTAGAAGTCATAGTGCAAGCGCTCAGTGTCTCCAGCAGTGTCAGTACCGATGCAGTGGAAGCTAGCACTGTCAAGACACAGGCACTTAGGACTTTAGATGCTCTCATTATGTGGTAAGTTTGTGTTAATTTTTGATATTAATATTATATATCTTGAAAATTAATTCATTATTTGTTTATCTTGAAACATAGTCATAATATTTCGAGTATATTTTTAATTTTCTTACTTCGTATAATATATCCATGCAACTCTCTTTTATTACGGTGTGGCGACACATGCCACATGTCAACGGATGACGTCACAAGAATCCTACATCGCACATGCAAAGTTTACAAGCGAATAAACACGTATAGAAAATCCCAACGAACAACTGTTGGGCAGAAAGCCCGCCAGGCACGATCACCTCGCCTGGTCGGAGGATCCTCCTTTTCCGATCTTAGGGAACTATACTCTCTGTTCCCTAAAGTGGTGACCCCGACGTGATTGGAAGCAATCTTCACTTCACGGAGCAGATCAGCACCGTCATCCGTATCGCCATCCCTCTCATTCATCACTTCTCCGCTGAGCGGTAATCAAGTCGCAGCCAACCAGCATCCTCGGCCTCATCAGGGACCACCATCGCCTGCAACGAAGTCGTGCAGCCTGGTTCTTCCCTACGGCCTCACCAGCGTCTAGGCACAGCACTTCTGCACACGGTTCTGAAGGACATCTCCTCCCGTCAACGCAGACGCCAGCCACTACGCACCTACCCTCGCAGCATCTCTTCCCCGACTCACCGTGGGACACTGCGAACTCATCTCTCCGACTCACTGGAGTATCGCCCTGCACCGCTCACCCGACTCACTGGGCACTCAGCGGCACAGTTCCGACTCACTGGAACTAGGGACTTTCTACACTGGCTCTGGCACCGCTCATCTCAAGCATCGACAGCCGTCTCAGCGGGATCGACCTCCGGTCTTGGGAGGGAGTGATGTGGCGACACATGCCACATGTCAACGGGTGACGTCACAAGAATCCTACATCGCACATGCAAAGTTTACAAGCGAATAAACACGTATAGAAAATCCCAACGAACAACTGTTGGGCAGAAAGCCCGCCAGGCACGATCACCTCGCCTGGTCGGAGGATCCTCCTTTTCCGATCTTAGGGAACTATACTCTCTGTTCCCTAAAACGGGAATTCTCGACTTATTTCGAACCAAAGTAGAGTCTATAAAGATCAGCTGACACCATTAATTTACAGACACAATTGATTGTAAAATATATTTGTTTAACTTTATGAATATATATTATTATGTAAATAAAATTTTGTTACGTTTTCTTACAGTTTGGGGTCAAACCTCATTCCATTCTCTGGGCTGGTGTTCAGATTTGTAATGCAGACACTTAAGTGGAGTTCAGAGAATCCTAGTGAACATTCAAGGTGAATAATATTACTAACGCATTCGAAATTATCGTATCAAGCGTGTCTTTACATTATTCTCACATAATATATCCTTACTAATCCTTACTAATATTATAAATCTGAAAGTGAGTTTGTTTGTTTGTTTGTTCCACCTTCACGCCGTAACTACTCAACCGATTGCTTTGAATTTTTGCAGACGTAAAGTTAGAAGTCCGGATTAAATAATAGGGTACTTTTTAACCCGGAAAAAATTATATTCCCGAGGAAAAACAAAAGTATTGGTATAGATGGCGCTGTGTGTATTGGTATATGTCACATAGTCTACTTTTTATTCTTTTGTGACGCGAGCGAAGCCGCGGGTAAAAGCTAGTGTACAATATTCGGATGTTTTTTTTATATTTGGTGGCCCGACGTTTGACCACTAGAGAGTATCAGGCACGGCTATGTATCAGAGACATTGTAAAACATACTATTTTTGTTAAAGAGTAACAAATGAATTTCTTGCTCATTCTTCTCCACTCGAATCTACTTTTTGGAACGACCACCTACCTAGCTTCACTGACGGACATTCTGACAGACTATTATTTATTTAATACTAGCTTCTGCCCGCGACTTCGTACGTGTAATCCCATTTTTTCCCGTCCCCGTTCGTGATTTTCGGTAAAAAGTAGAAGAAAAAAATTGGTTAAAAGTATCCTATGTCGTTCTCCTGTCTCTAAGCTACCTCCCTACCAATTTTCAGCCAAATCTATTCTGCCATTCTTGAGTTATAAGTGGTGTAACTAACACGACTTTCTTTTATATATATAGATTTGATGACGTTTTGAAAGTACCAAATTATGGTTTAATTAAAATAAATACTTTCGAGTTTCGAAGGGAGATAACGATTTTATTTTAAACACACCATCAATTACTCATGAAGTTATCTAAGAAGACTATTATACTCGCCTATATAGGGGTTCCTTAACCGTATAGGCGGTTGGTGTCAAATATTATTATAAAATTTTGGTACGTTCATAAGGGCAAAATACGTATTGGACACTGATTTAACCAATGAACATCTGGCATGCTTTTGTTTGAATGACAATGCATAAATATTATGCAAATAAATTATAATAAAACTTTAAATATTTTTAGAAAAGTCCGCATAACAGCGTACAACAGCCTTAGCAAATGGTTGGGCATTCTCCACGCGCACCGCGTCTCCAGCGAGGGCAGGGCGCGGTCCTGGGAGGATGATCTCACCAAACATATCATTCAAGATATCACACCGCCCAAGAAGATTGTACAACTCACTGTAAGTATCCTTACATACGCCTTTAATTCCCCAAAGATTTAGGCAGAACTGCAATATATTTTTTGAATTTCGATTGAATAATAAGTTATTTGATATTGTTTTTTTTCTTTCATTCAAACAAACAAAAAAGTTTTAGTTCAGTTTAAAGGAAGTGTTAAATTATTTATTACAGATGAGCAATCAATATACTAAGAACTTGAGTAAGAAAGCTAAGAGGAAGCTCGCGAACACGATGCTGCAACAAAGTACAATATCTAGTCACATGCCCGGCGAGAAGAATAAGGCAGATGTGTGAGTATTGCTTTGTTTCATAATTTACAAACACTATTTCTTTGGCAAATTGACAAAATAGAGAAAGGGAGAGAATAACAAAGGGAGGGATAGAGATAAACAAGACACTCTGTGTAGTAATTGAGTAAATTATTATGTACGTCTTTACTATTCACGGGACCACAGGGTCCCGGTCATTTGGGAGGCCTTTTTTTAAGGGTTGAAAATCATCGAATGACTGTTCCCGCTTGGGTGAGGCGGGAGGGAGTGTCAGACTCTTACTGACTAAAAACCACCCCGTTCCTTCTCCTACACGTCGAGCCGGAGCCCCGGTTACCCGTTAGGTTCTTCGCTACAATTTGGGAGGCGTACGAGGGGCCGAAGCCAACTGCGCAGACCCTTTAGACAACTTAAATCTTAATGTAATGGACAAATAAACCGGCCACTATCCCTGTATGCACTGTGGTAATGCACTCAAGGACAGTCCCCGGTTAGTTATTATTATTCAAATAATATTATTGACATATTATTTATAGATCTGAGGAGTCAAGTGACGAGGTAGCCAACGCGGCCCTGGATTGTGCTGAGACATTCCTCACTGTCTGTGGAATATTTTTGAAACCAACCACACACAAGGTAAGTTTTGGTGTGCGTTACCCAGGCCAGATTTTGTTGAAAATGGTCATCTGAATCTTATAGATAATTAGTTGTGCGGCTTCTGTAATTGTTGCGCACATTTTTAAATTTGCTGCCTTCATAGTTTTTTAATCATTTCACAAAACCATTTCCTGCTGGGGTAACGTTACCCCAGCCAGACCTTTTGCTAGAGGGCCTAGTGGGACTTTTTTTGCGTTAACGCAGTCGTAACGTTACCGCGTGTAGCGTGTACTCTGAATGGTGGGTCAATTTAAGCAAGCCAATCAGAGCGCCGAATGTCATACACGTTTTGATCGCGTTATCGTAATACAAACTTACATTAGGCCCTCCTCTGATTAAATGCTAAATGAATTTGATCAACTGCGGTACTCGGAATCATTTGATGGCTACTTAACCCACTACTTTATCAATTTGTTTTGGAACAAAATTACTAAGAAATAGTTTAACATAACATAACATCACGCCTTTTATCCCCGGAGGGGTACGCTAAGGTTCGATAAACCCGAGACCCCTTGCCTGGCCGTCGCACTTGCGACCACTTGGTCAACGAGGCAGTCGAGATATAGTTTTAGTAATCATTAAATGTCTATGAGGGTCGCCAGTAAGATTCAGTCAGCACTAACTTAAGACTGGGAAAAAATTCTAATGTTACCTAATGTATACTTTTTTTCAGATATTCCAAGAACGTCTGGTACGTGAATGTTTCAACGTGGAGTCGTACAGCGAGCAGCGCGCCACGCGCCTGCTGCGGGCGCTGGACGCGGCGCGCGCCAACACGCCCGCCTCCGTGCCGCCGCCCACACAGTACTGTCTGCAACTCTACAGTGTACTCGTTAACAGTCCATGTGATCAGGTAATGTATTCAATATTTTATTTATTCTAAGCTTAGTAAATATTTCCATAGGTACTATATTAGTCCACCCATAATTTACTAAATAATAGGACCCTTGAATCACAATAATTACTTTTACAAATTGATGCTTTGACAGCCATAAGGTCGATGGGACTTACCGCTAGCGGCGCTATCTAGTATGCAAAATTTAAATACATATGTTTTTATCAGTTTTCTATTTTTCTAATAATACAAGTAAATGTTAAATATATCGTGTAATATTACCTAAAAATTTATTTCTTTCTACAGATCAGGAGGTTCAGTTCCCAAGCATTACTGAACATACGGCTACACCTGCACTGCTCGCCACCCTCGATCAACTTCGCTATAGACGCGCCAGCAGAATCGAAGGCACCCAAAAATAAGAAGGAAATATCTAAGAAGAACAGAGAAGCTCTTGAGGCGTTGTTAGGAAAGGAGAGGTGAGTTTCAAAAGACAATTGAATATAGTTTATTAATACTACCTAATGCTAGAAGGAACGAAAGATCTTCCTTGATGCAAATTTAAAAAGTTATATAATTGTTCACAGAATGCCGCCTACAGGTTCTACAGAAGACTCGACAGAGGCACCAGCGACCAAGAAGCCACGCTTAGATGATGACAGAATTAGTATCAGTAGTGAATCGGCCGCTTCGGTTGTTATCTCAGATGCTACAGATGATGAAATCGAAGAAATTAATGAAGAACAAATCGATGTTGAAGAAGAAATACAAATTTTCACAGAACCAGATGATGCTCAAGACCAATCTAGTGAAAAAAGTAAACAAACGTCAGATACTCCTTGTATGACAGTCGACAACTCCCCAGAATCAAATAATGATGAAATCATTGTGCCAAATCAAACAAATTCCATTTACGATGCCAAAACACAAGTCCCAATGAACACTTCACATGATACAATAGATGGTGATAAAAGCCCAAGCTCATTAGAGGTAGTTTATGATGCTCCAAACACGAGCAGTAAAGTAGCCATGATAGAAAAGATGGATGACGATAATCTCCCCAGTACTAATGAAACAGATGACGTGCAAATAACTTGTGGACAAGCTATTTTGGGCTCGCAGGGTTCAACGACGTCAAACAACGCGATAAACAACATTGAAATCGAGGTAGAAATATCTACAACGAGCGCGACAAATGAAGCGACGAAATCGGATGAGACTGTAGAACTTAAGCAAAATGATAATGAAGCAGCTAATAAAAATATTGAAGTTACAATAACTAGTAAAGAAGTTACGATAGAAGACATGTTAGCTGATTTCGTTGACGAAGTCAATGATGAGCCAAGTGTAGTAGTTTAAGCGCAATTCTTTGATTATTATTATTATAAGAGTAACTGTAACGCTTCCATGATTATATTATTGCTTCAAAAGTAATTATTTCGCATATCAATCAATAATCTTGTTTTATTTAAACTCTGTAGTGTGTACTTCTTGAAGGAAAAATGGACAAAATTTTATTTCCCTGTTTGTTTTGAATGGCAACCAAGGACGTGGAAAAATAAAATATATCAAGTGTAGTGCTAAAAAAATCTGAAAGCAAAAAGTCTAAATTGGCAGTTTGCCTCCACTGCTAATAGTGCGGCTGGCTAGTAAAAACCAAATCCAGATGGCGCCAGCATTAGTTTGTTCCTTTAGGCAGGGCCGCGCCGCCCCTGTGTGCGAAGTGTGCGGCGCACACAGGCGCCAAGACAATAGGGGCGCCGTGTCGCGCCACCACCTCTACTTGAATTATTTTTGTTACCTTAATTATTATATTTTTGGTAGTAGAGTATCGATAAGTAAGTAGGTACAATAGGCGCAACATAGGCCTTGTATACAACAAAACTTATATTACGCTTATTAAACAAGTCTCTCAATATTTATGTTTATTATTAATCACGTTTATGGTTTCATTTTACACTTAGGGTTTTAGTTTACATTACTTACGAGTTACAAGATCAACGTTAAAACGGCGGCAGATCTTTTGAACCACAGATAAAGTAGGTACCTACTAGTTATATTGAATCATAAAGGCGCCGACTTTGTATGAGTAAGTATGAGTGAGTTTGTGAACGCAACCCGATGCGATGCGTGCGAGGCTATAGGAGTAGGGTCACAGGGATTCCCCGATTTTAACGAACGAGAGAGTCAAGCTAAAACAAAACAATTGAACAATCATTTGATTGAAAGTGTGTGTAAGGTGCGCATTGAACTTTTTACTGACTTTAAAAAAAGGAGGAGGTACGTATGTTCGGCTGATTGTCTTTTTTTTCAGTACTCCGCCATATGTGAACCGATTTCGAAAATTCTTGTTTTGTTTGAAAGGGTATACTCCCGAGATGGTCCCATTTCCATGAGGTCAGGATCTGATGATGGGACCCAAGGGAAACCGAGGGGAACTTTTGAAAATTCTATGGGCGAGTACTGCGTCTATTTTGTTTTTCAATTACGATTTTTAAACACTACAATTTGATAAGGGTCTGGATTTGACCTAATGATGGAGCCGACAGACAGTCGAGGGAACTCCTCAACGGTTTATATTAACTACCTTGTGTTTGTACTAAATTAATCAAGCCCAAGCATAGGGTAGTTAATAAAAACAGCTGAGGAGTTCTCTCGATTGTCTGTCGGCTCCATCATCAGGTCGACTCCAGACCGTTATCAAATTGTAGTGTTTAAAAATCGTAATTGAAAAACATAATAGACTCATTACTCGCCCCTAAAATTTTCGAAAGTTCTCCTCGGTTCCTCTCGATTTCCCTGGGAAATGGGACCATTTCGAGAGTATACCCTTTTAAACAAAATAAGATTTTTGGAAATCGGTGTACAAATGGCGGAGTAATGTGCGAACAAACAAAAAAAATCAATCAGCCGAACATAGCACCTCCTGCTTTTTTGAAGTCGGTAAAAAAGAGGCGCTCCATCGATTCCGCACACAGGCGCTGCCGGGGGTCGGCGCGGCCATGCCTTTAGGGATCGCTATTAGGAGGATCCCTAATTGAGCACTGCCTCTTCTAGTCGTGGGGTGCAGGGGGTTGAGAGAAACAACGGTGTTCAGATACCGGATATATTCACGTAAACCCCCAGATAGAACCGTTCACTCGGACCAGTGCGCAGTAACTGTCCGTGCCTCGCATACTTCACGCTCACACTGGTTTTTGCTTGCCTTGCACTCTGCCATACATACTTACATGTGTCCCTACATTCCTAACAAAAAAAATAAGAATGGTTTTATACATAATAAAGATTCCTAATAACTTACGTGATTATTTAAAGTTAAAAACTCTCTACATTATGTCTTCCAACTTAATCGCGGAACAGAAAAGATGTGATCTGATGCTTCTTCATATGCAAAGGAAGCAGATCACGTTGAAAGGTAATTTTGTTTTCATTATATTTCGCCCATTTCCCTATTCGCTTAATCGCTTATTACATTTACCATCATATAAGCCATAATACATCATCTTCAGTAGGTAGTGGATGTTTTACATGGTGATTGGCAGGTTGGAAGCAACCTATATCCAGCGGCTGCGGACTTTGTGTAGTCGTCTCTCCGACGACAAGCATTCTGCCCCATTGGCTGTCGGGAGTGCTGAGCTATGTGCCCCGCCCAATGCCGTGTGCGTTACCCAGGCCAGATATTGTCGAAAATGGTCATTTGAATCTTATAGATATTAGTTGTGCGGCTTCTGTAATTGTTGCGCACGTTTTTAAATTTGTTGCGCTTATAGTTTTTTAATTATTTCACAAAAACGTTTCCTGCTGGGGTAACGTTACCCCAGCCAGACCTTTTTCTTTCTAATGGGAATATTTAAATAATTACTAGCTATAAAATTAGTTGTCTAGATGAAGTAAATGTTGTGCCTTATTTTGTATTTGTTCTTTCATCGGTTGCGAAGTTATTTTAGATTTTGCTGGGGTAACGTTTTTGGTTTTGCTAGATCTTTGAAATGGTTAAGCGGATTCTTTCATATTTGGTACATGGCTTCTTAGGAATTAGTTTAAATTTGTTGTGCAATAAAAATATCAAAATAAAACATAGCTTAAAGGTTATTTCATTACAATAGAAAAACACTTCAATTGGTCCCAGCACTCTCAATAAGAGCTTGAAAGACTTACTTTAAACGTTATTTTATAGCTTGTAACTGCCTTCAAATGTATGTAAAGTTTCATTAGTATTCTGTAAGTATTGAACAAGTTATGACGATATTGAGTTCTTCACGAGCACGGTCTTGATGCACGCATAACTTGTTCATGTTAATTATAGACCGAGAAGATTTTACTTAGTTTCCCGTACGGCTGCCCGGTTCGATGATTTGAAAGTGTTTGAAATACTGAGATTTTTCTTCATTGTCTATGGCATTTGCACTGACATTGACATAATGGTTGTCAATGTCAAATGAAATAGTAAACAGAAATAGAACACGAGTTTTTATTGCTATTGGATTTGCATTTTATTTAATTAAAAAATGGTTGTAGCAATAGGATTTGAAGGCAGTGCTAATAAAATAGGCATTGGTATCGTTAAAGATGGAGAAGTGCTATCTAATTGCAGAAGAACTTACATCACACCGGCTGGAGAAGGTTAGTTTCATAAATCTCATTATCGTTATTGTTTTTATTGATAAATTTCGTACACTACATTTTACTCCAATATAGCTGTTTAGTAATACTTTAACCTTTAACCAACATCGAAAGACCCTTTTAGTATATAATTTTCAGAAATCCATCCTTTTTAACATCTCTTTTTTATGAAATTAAAAGATTTTCAAGGTTAATAATTTTCTTATTTGACAATGCGATTATAATCTTGGGGTTGATGAAAGATTTAAGCCTAAGGGGTCACAAAAACAATTTTAATTATTTTAACAAAGAAGTGAAATAAAATTGTGACTTACAGGTTTTCTACCCAGAGAAACGGCAGAGCATCATAGACAAAAGATCCATGAAGTGCTAAAGGAGGCTTTAGAACAGTCTGGCATAACGCCTGACAAGATAGACGTAGTCTGTTACACTAAAGGTCCTGGCATGGGCGCTCCGTTGATGGTATGTGCTATTGTAGCCAGGACCTGCGCAAAATTGTGGAACAAACCAATTCTTGGAGTTAATCACTGCATTGGACGTATCCTTTTTTAAGTAATAATTTGCAAGTATGTTTTAGTTTAAAAATATCTATGTGTCTCTGTTCCTTGCTATGGTTGATCTGATTGATTTTCATAATTTTTTTTCAAGTTTTGTATTTATGAAACTTTCCATTCTTGAAAACACAACACAGTTTCATAAATACTAGCCCTTTGAGTACAGTCATTATAGACACAATTAAAGAACAATAGGTTGTGGTCACCAGTGTCCTCGTGGTGTTTGACAGTTTAAACATTAATCAATTTTTTCACTTGCCCTGAAACCAAAGAAGAAACCAAAAATATGCTCTAAGTGTTAATTTTCTGAACACCAACCAACAGACATAGAAATGGGTAGACTGATCACAAAAGCGAACAACCCTACAGTTCTGTATGTGAGCGGTGGCAACACACAGGTGATAGCTTATTCCAGGAACAGGTACCGGATATTTGGAGAAACCATTGACATTGCCATGGGGAACTGTCTAGACAGGTAATAACTGTATTATTTTATTTTATCAGCTGTTACTAGTGCAACCCTCAAACTTTGAATTTTTTTTGCACATCTCTGCTATTTTTTTCTTACACAAGAACTTTCTAACAATTACAAACAAAATCAGTTCTGTTCTCGAGATTTGCGCTTAGCTGTTAGCATGACATTTAGCGTTTCTGTGTATTATGCATAATTCCTCCTGATATACATAACATAATGTATGTTCATTGTGTAAATAATTTGATGTTGTCGTCACAAGTGCTACTGTGAAGTGTATTGGTTTAATTACAATGGTAAAACAAAACTTCAATTCTAAGGAAGAATTCAATGAGGATGGCTTTCAAATTATTCTTTGCCAGGGTCTGTATTTCCTGAAGGGTATAACCTGGGAGTCTTCAAAGACCCAAGTGAATAGGTTTCTTATGGGACGACGTGCTTCATCGTAGACCGCATCATCGCTTACCACCAGGCGAGATAGTGGTCAAACGTCGGCCTATTAAATATTAAAAATAATAATGTAAATAATGTATGAAGTGAAATATACTGAACAGAAAATTTTATAATTTCAGGTTTGCAAGAGTGTTGAAATTATCTAACGCGCCAAGTCCAGGATACAACATAGAGCAAGCTGCCAAAAAGGGAACGAAGTTCTATCAGCTTCCTTATTGTGTGAAAGGTAATATCAAGTAAATACGTCGTCGATTTCACTGCTTCAATTTGGCACTGTTGGTATTTTTGTTTTTAATTTTTGACTACACACACGTTTAGTATTGGCGCACTGGCTGGGCAACCGACTACTGCGCACCGTGTCACAGATTTGATTCTCGCACGAATTGTTGTTGCGGGTCTTTGAATTTGTATGTTTGATAACGTACCCACAACCAGTAATACATACCTATTCTTATCCTAGCGCGTTCCGCGCGCGCCTCAAAGAGCCTAACGGGTTACTGGGGCTCCGCCGGCTCGATGTGCAGGAGTTCCAACGAGGTGGTTTTTAGTCAGTAAGAGTCTGACACTCCCTCCCGCCTCACCCAGACCAGGCGGGAGAAGTCATTCGATGATTTTCCCCATTAAAAAAAGCTAGTTTTAGAAAAGAAATTGTGTGTTTTGTTTTTCTGGGTATTTCTGTATCAAAAATATTTTCAGGTATGGATGTCAGCTTCTCAGGCATACTATCGTACATGGAGGACAAGATAGATGATCTCCTGAAAACATACACGCCTGAAGACTTGTGCTATTCTCTGCAAGAAACCACATTTGCAATGTTGGTGGAAATCACTGAACGAGCAATGGCGCATTGCGGTTCTGATGAGGTACATTTGAGAATTGATAAAATTGTTTTTATAATAACTATCGTGAGATATACTAAATTAACTAAAAATCGCGGGTTACTCACGTGAATATATTGAGAAAAGCTCTACTACTTTCAAACCACAGAGGGGTTCTACCTCATGAGCAGCGTGCGCGGTCACGGCGATGTCGCGCAGCCTACTGGCCAGCGTTGGCGCTCGCGTCGGTGCGCCAGCGCCGAGCGCCGATATGATGTAAGACATCTTAGTATATTCACGTGAGTAACCCGCGATTTTTAGTTAATTGATAAAATTAAAAAAATTACGTATAGATTTAGCGTTTGATTATCGGCTCCGGTATAGTTCAATGATAGTATTAGAGGGTCTTAAAATGTTCGTAGTCGACCTCGTTGGTCATGTAAGCAAGCGTGACTGGTCAGCAGTATACGAGGGCTTAGTATGAGTTTGTTTTAAGTTTACCGAGGTCGAAACGAGACTGCACTCTGCGCTCTGATTGGCCAGCTCCAATAAACTAACCAATCAGAACGCCCGATGCGGTCAGGTTCGATTACTATTTCCGAATTGCGATATTACGATTACGGCATTGCAGCCTAAACTGCGGAAACTAAAAAAATAATCACATTTGTTTGCCCAAACCTTCGGAGATTAAAATAGTATGACGATACCTTGTACAATATATTATTATTTTTTTACGGGATAAGCTGGTAAACGAGCAGATGGATCACCTGATGGTAAGCATTCGGCGTCACCCATTAACAGCCTTATAGGGATTAGTAATTTGAGGATTCAGGGATTAGAGAGAGACGGGGAGGATAATTGGGCCTCCGGTAAACTTACTCACAAGACGAGACACGAACACAAGCGTTGTTTCACTTCAGAGGCCTTAGTACGAGTTTTTTTTTCGTTTAAAGTAATCGAAACGAGACGGCGTCCGGCGCTCTAATTGGTTGGTTCATTGGAGCCGGCCAATCACAGCGCCGAACGCGTCCTCGTTACGATTACTTTAAACGTAATACAAACTCGTACTAAGGCTTCAGTTTTCTGTGAGGCCGTGGTATCACTCCGGTCGAGCCGGCAGCCCATTCATGTCGATTGCCGAAGCATGGCTCTCCCACACTTAACATACAAATAATATTGATTTGTTGCAGGTACTGATAGTCGGTGGTGTTGGTTGCAACGAACGCCTGCAAGAAATGATGGGAGTAATGTGTGCGGAACGGGGAGCCAAACTATTCGCCACAGACGAACGATTTTGTATCGACAACGGTGTAATGATCGCTCACGCAGGCGCACTGGCGTTCCAATCAGGAGCCAGAATGGATTTCAAAGAATCAACTATTACGCAGAGATATAGGACCGACGATGTCTATGTTACGTGGAGAGATGATTAAATTGTTTTTATGTTATAATATTTATGTTATTTCATTACTTTAAATGTTACAGTACTATAAACAATTAAACACTTAAAGCACGCTGCTCATGAGGAAGAACTCCTCTGTGGTTCGAAACTAGTAGAGCTTTTCTCAGTATATTCACGTGAGTAACCCGCGATTTTAGTTAATTAAAAACGGAGTTTCTAAATTGACTTAAAGTTTATAACATAACATAGCATCACGCCTTTTATCCCCGAAGGGGTAGGCAGAGGTGCACACAGAAGTATCACCCACTTTTCACTATTTATGTTATGAGCCCCATGTAATAGGGGGTGAGACTATTGCCATATACCGGGCACGTTCCCAGACTCCGTGCTACTAGTGAGATTTTAAAGTTCTTATACCTAAAAAATTAAAACTAACTTGTTAAGTTACAAAAACTTTATTAAATCAACCATTTATATTTGTTCAAAATAAGGATATCACTGCAAACTCATCGGGAGCAAACACGCAACAAATAACATTACAAACGTTCCATTATTATTGCATATTCAAAATAAATTATTTATATCCATATTGATTGAACTCAGGAATACTGATAAAACTTAACAAGTAATGTTTTACTTACATTAATATAAATAAATACTACAGAAATGCAGACGGAGTAATATTGCCAACAGCGATATATTCATCTAGAGTCAGTGTTGCCACATATTAAGCTCATAATGGCGGGAAGATGCAAACAAACGATGAAGTATCGACAAGCTAAAATCTTTCCTAGTTGTATAAGAGGTCAGGTTTATAAGTCAGTAATTATTCAGTGTACAGATCGAGAGTTATCGTTCCAATATAAAAATTCGTTAATTTTGTATGGGTCTTAGAGTGTAGTATGCGGCAACACTACCTCTACTCACAGCACATCTACATACACTTCATAAAACGAATTCCTAAAATGTTAATATTGTCCAGCTTAAAAAAATTATAAAGAATTTCTCAAGTCTGGACAAATTCTTAAATACAATCTTAGGTTTAACTGCACTTTGAAAACCCTGGCCATTATTGTCGAGACAACATCGTCAAAAAATGTCAGTTCATTCTTTCTATGAAGCGAGTAGTTGTATGAAAGAATTCAATCACATCTCTTGACACCAAATGCACAGTTAGACCAAAGAATTTATAGAACTTTCTGACATTTCATTATTTTTCAATAGTAGTTGAATAAATATACATACTTTTAAATATACAATACATTGTACTTAAAACTTTTTGCGACCAATTTTATCCTGATAATGTTTCTTCGTTTTTTACCATTGCATATACAGTACATACTCGTATAAGTACATTTTAATAGTACCCAATAATTCATGAAGGGTAAACTCATTAGCTTAGAAATGGTACTGTTTCAACTATTTAGAAGTATTCCTTGTATTTACAGGGTTTAGTGAACATTAAACCGAATTATAAGAGGATGTTTCTCACAAGGTGAACTTAATTACAACAAAATACTCTTTTACATCTTTACACATCAATTGAAAGTAGCCTGCATACACAATATACTGAATAATAGCATGCAGCCATACACAAATTCATACAAAACTTATACAATTATTGCTTTACAAATGGTACAAAATTTAGCCCTAATTGGCACTGGCTAGAAGACTGCATACATAAAAATGTTGATTATGTAAGTCTGTATGTATGTTTTATACATATTATAACTTAATTTCGTTGATATTTAAAATGACTTGAACATTTCCACTACAAGATTTAAACATTTATCAATTTAAAATCCTTACAAGAAAAAATGTATAATGTACAGATATACAACCTCATTGTAAGGACTCTAGAAATTATAATAAATTAGTCTATGAGTCTATTATAAAAAAAAAAAAACAAATGGAAATGTATGAACAATCCGAGTGATATTTATAAAAGCGACAACAAAACGAGCTTATAATTAATGTAGAAACCACGGAACATAATGTTCACATACTTTGTACTAGGACCCTCTCGTAAAAGTCTTGGCTTGATACTCTAGCACTTATTTGGTTCAAGTTGTGTCTCATAAAGTGTCTGCAATGTGTAGCCCTGTGTAAACTATGATCCAAGTTACCTGTAACAATAGAAAATGATACAAATATTATTTTATAGGTATGTATGAATAGTCAAAATTGGGTTGGGTTGGTAATTACTTAAGCTACTAGCTATAAGCAGTGCCGTAACTAGCCTTCTAGGCGCCCGGTGCGAGCTTTCAAAACTGCGCCCTTGAAAAATGTCCTTACCATGCTCTGACAATAAAATGGACAAATGTGCATGAAAATTTAACTGTTTATTGTGTACCAAGTTATAGGTTGGTACTTAGTAGATGTTTTAAGACAATTCGTTGCTGCCTGCCATTCCGCCATTAGATCGCGCCGGAGCTCTTATCTGGCGCGGCAGCGAAGTTTGGCCCCGGCGACGTGACTCCGCGCGCATGCAATACACGCGCTCGAGCACCTTCGCCTCCAGATCCCACGGCGGTAATCCGTCGTGTAGTTGAGGTTCGCCGCCTTCCCGGAGATCGTCCGGTATCCGCGGATCATTCGGATCGGGCCTGATCCGAATGATCCGCGGATACCGGACCTGGCCTGATGCGAGCCGCCGCATCAGGTTCGGTGCCCACACAGGGGCGCCGTAGAGGGCCATGGACCGCACGGCCCCGGCCTATAACCTCCGGCAGGAGGCGTTTGGCCCCCCGAGGTTGGGGAGGATGCGCTTAAACGCAGCCCCCGTCCTCTCCAACTTTGGAGCCAAACGTCAGAAGTCCTCCACGAAGTTCCACTGACTGTCGAGGACGAGTCCCGACGCCGATGGTAACCTCTCCCGCCGTTATTTGGGACTCACCCGGAGGTGGCGCGTTCCCGCGGCCATGAAAGCACATAGCCTCGGAATTGTGGAGCGCCACCTCGAATCCTAATTGCCGGATTCTCTCAACAACTGTCGCAACCGCTGTCGCCATTAAGTCGGCCGCCGCTTGGTGCGACCTCCCGTGCGCTAGCACCAGCGTGTCGTTGGCGTAGCATATGATGCTAACCCCGTTCGGGAGGTCGATGCGCAGCATCCAGTCATAGCCGATGTTCCACAGGAGCGGCCTCAGAACCGAACCCTGTGGAACACCTCTGTGACATTTCTCGCCGGTTCCACTCGCCCCGGTGACCCGGGTAAATGACGGACCTGTCCTGACGGACAGGTCCGTCATTTACCTGACGGTAAGCCTCGATTACACGACGGAGTTAGGTAGGCACCCGATAATATCGGAGTGCCTCCAAGATGCAGCTCCAGGGCAGGGAGTTGAAGGCGTTGGCGATGTCCAGAGACACCGCCACAACGACCTTACCCCTGGACACTGCAGTCCCCGTCGTCCGGTCCAACGCGCATGATGGCGTCCACCGTGGAGCGCCCTATGCGGAAGCCGAACTGGCCGTCCAACAGGTCCGGCCCAATGTCCGTCAAGTGCGCGACGAGGCGGTTCGAAATTATTCTTTCGAAGACTTTCTCCACCTCGTCGAGCAGCACTATGGGCCGGTACGCGGACGGAGAGTCCGCAGGGCCCCGTCTTCCGCACGAGGACCAGTTTACCTGCTTTCCAGAGCAGCGGGAACTGGCCTCTCTCCAAGCATGCGCTGTAGAGACCAATTAATCGCCAACCGATTATTTGCCATGCAAGCCATCGGGACCTGGAGAGGTGTTCTTGGCGCCCATCCGGCGCACCGCTGCTCTCAGTTCTGCCTCGGCCATCTCTGAGACAATGTCGTCGTCGTCGTCGTCGCTATAACCCGCGTCGGGCACCGCAGGGGGCGGAGTCATATACGGAGGGGTGAAACCCCTCCAGGTCCAGCTGTTTCAGCGCTCAACGCGGGCCACATGGGGCCTGTCTGACCGGCGGATACGCGGACTCGGCGGAGACGTCGAGCCGGATATACCGGTGGTCGAAGTGCGTCTCCACCTCCTCCATGACGTAATTACTACAACTGCGGTCCTAGGGGCGAGGAGCAAGGCAGCAGCCCGTTTCTCTCTGCGCTGCTGCTGCCGTCGCTGCCGCTGCGCCTTCTTGCGGCGCTTACGGCCCTCCTTGGCGACTCTCCTCGCCTCACCAGCGATTGGCCACCCGCCGCCGTCCTCCGCCGCTGTTGCAACTCCAGCCTGCCGGGATGGAGTGCCTCTCCTTTTTTTGTTTCGGCCCGCGGGCGCAGGCGCTGCGGGCGCAGGCGCCGCGGGCACAGACGCCCAAAGTTATAGTATAGGTACTTTTGTTTGTGTATGTAATATTGCGAGCAAGACTTAATAAGGTGGATATACAATTGTCTGATGTGTACTGAGTCGTTCGACATGTGTTGTTGATTCAAGATCGTATAGAAATGCGGTACAGATTTAGATAGTACAGTCTGGTCATTTCTGCGCCCCTCCAGGGTCTGCGCCCTCTGCCTGGGCACCGCTGGCACCACCCTATTTACGGCGCTGGCTATAAGCCAATGTAACATCTTAAGAAACATTATGGAATGCAAATAAAGATATGAATATGAATAGTTTGCTTCTCAAGACAGCAAATTAAACTGACCAAAACTTTAACTATTGATTAAATAATTATCATTTTTATTGCAAAATAATGAGGTTGATGATTGATAATTTATTAAACATTGTGTCTAGTGGTTTTGCAAACATAAGCAAAAAAATTAATGGAAATAAAAATAATATAATATGTGCGAAGGTAAATAAATAGGAGGTGAAGGAGAATGTAGGTTGAATACACATCATCCCTTGATAAAACAGATGTGAAAGATAAGAACAGTAATATTCTACTATCACTCCATAAAATAGTAATTCTTGAACAAACATTCAGATAAAATACACACTATTTACGTTTAACTTACCAAAAATCCAGCAAACGAAGTCATGAAACCTTCCTTAGTTATTTCCCATAAACCACCATATTCCTCTTCATCAATACTTTGGAAATTGTTAACATAAAAGTATATTACTGCTGCATTTACTAGGACAAACCTGAAAGAAGATATAGGAGGTTTGAAAACAGTGTAAAGCATATCAAATTTGTGAAAAATTCAATAGAAATTGTGTGCTAAGTAATTTAATATTTCTCAATATCTATCAAGTCAAATGAGGTAACGTAATATATGAATCCTTACAGTAATAAACCAACGAAGCCTTTCATTGGCAGTAGGCCCCAAAACAGACCCAAAATAATGCCCATAGCTTGACGCATCCAGTAGATAACGTCAAGAAACTCTTCCTGAAAATACCCGAAACATTTAATTGGTTAATAAATCAGATTTTTATTAACAAATTTTGAGCGAAGTCTCGTGATTTCCAAATCTAACCTTGTCCGGCCATTCCGCGTTCGCAACTAACGCTCGCTTCCACGCTGAATCCTGTAGTTTAACCTTATTGTTTCCATCTGCAACCTGCTTGCTTTTACTCGCCATTTTACAGCTATTTTCTTTCAAATTATTAAATTAAATTCATAGGATTTTTGGAATCAATAAGTCATTTCATGAAAATCGTACACGTCACTGTGACATTGATATTTTTGGTTGTCAAATGTCATTTAACTTTTTTATTTTGACTATGAGTACGTAGCTTTTCAGCGTAGTGTTGCTGCTTAGAATAAAACCACCGATATGGTAGAAAATTAGAATATTAGTCTTTCATTTGTTATTCTTGTTTTATCAGCAGAAAAATCTTAGATAAACAATAGTCTTCTGTTGAATGATGATGAAATGATGATGATGAAAAAAAATAAATATTTATGTATAATGCTAACATCACGCATCATTCAATCAGTTAAACGAGGAAATTGAAAGAACGAGAAATATAGAAAACACGATTTATTAAAAATGCATTGATTGATAAAATAAGCTGGCTTATAAAGTGGGCGCAACCCTATTCTTTATCCGTTGAAGTCGTTCCGCCTCCATATTTTTGGTAATGTCCCAGCATTCCTTGTTGAGGGTATCCAGCCCTCGGGAGAGACTGACCAGCCGCGCTAATACCAGCAGTCTATGTAAATCGTCTGCCGTCACTGGGTTATCTGAATCCGATTTGCTCCTCATTTCTATGAAATCGTCTTCCACAAACTGAAACATAAAAATAATAATTTGTAATTATTATTGGTTAAATATTTTGCTTGTATGTACTTACTATGTTTGGTGAATTTGTTATTATTCATAGAAAAGATCGTAGTGGAAAACATCATCGAATATTTTTAGTAGTTCATTTATTGAGGAAGGTTATGGATAGGCTACAAAACATCACATGGTCATGACCAATAGGAGGAGTAGCGGATCAAACGAACGGGAGTAATTATATAAAGGTGTAAAGTTTATTTCTTTGAACGCTTTAATCTTAGAAACTACTGGTTCGATTTGATTATTATTTTTGAATTTGGTAATTAATGCATTTATAGAGAAAGGCTATAAAACATCGCAGGTATAGGCAATAGGAGCCGAGCAGAGCTGGTAAAGCGCGCAGAAATCGCTAGTTTTTAAACAATATCTCAATCTCACCTGCAAATCTTCACTTATAGTATACTTCACAAGCTTAAGACTAGTTAGGTACTTCCTAATAATGTTCATGATATCTTCCTTCAAATAATAAGTCGCTGCCTCGACGATAGCGTCGAATATTTTCAACGAAGCTTCTTCAGGGCGCAGTGGGAGATGGTAATCACTCTGAAAGACATATAAAAGCAAGTTATTTACTGATACAACATTTAATTATCTTCATAGTCAAAGCTGAACAAATTTTCAAATTACAAATTGATTATTATCTCAAGAATTACAATATTTGTCTAACATTAAACCAGCCACAGTAAGTTATCATACAATACTGAACACAAGCACCTATAAATGTTAATTAAAAACAAAGTCTGTTGTTTCGTTTCATAATGGATTAATCATTGAAAGGTTTTTATTAGTAAAAGCCTACAAGATATGGCTTAGTGAAAAAATGATTACTCCAAAAAAAACAAAAAAAAACAGTTGCCTATTCAATAATAAGGTAGTTGCCAGGGTATGAAAATTAAAAGGCTAATTAGTCCTTAGGTTAGATAATGAAAAATTATCAGACACGTATTTTGTATTTTCCTATAAAGTTACAATACTTAGATAAAATGGAGTTAAGTTTAGGAGTCCCACTCCTAGGTGTCGTTACGTTTTGTAGCACATTGTGACGTCACACGACATTTCAAATTAATATATAATAGTTATCGTCGAGTATTCAATTTTGTGAGACAAAAGAAAAAATACGAGTCTAATGTTTTAAATAAAATTACGAGATCGACATTAATAGGAAACTACATACCCTATTTCGAACAACAGTATTTGTTTAAACATTTTAGTAAATATTTATTCAAAACAATAACGTAAGAACCAATAAAAACTTACCGGTAACAAAGATTTGCCTTCAGACAGTATAAGCACTGACACATCAGATTCAAAGTCCATTTTATAATACTTGAAGTCGTATTCCACTTTCTGTGTCATGATCATGTTGCCCAGTGCCGCAATATTGTTCACTCCGGTGGCGTCTAGTCGCCCCTGTTCCATTTTAGTCTCATCTAACACAAGGTGGGTGTCTTTACTGAGCTGTAGTACTCCACTTGTAAGGCGGTTGCATTCATAGTCTTTTCTGTTGAGGTAATATTTTTGTTACTTAATATAACATAATGGTTTTGTTGGGCTTAAATTATAACATACTATGTGAGTTAAAGATAAATAAATAAATAATAACAATAAATCACGCCTTTTATCCCCGGAGGGGTAGGCAGAGGTGCACATTATGCTTTTTTTTTTACACTTTATGGGTCGACGTTTGACCACCATCTCGCCTGATGGTACGCACGCCTACCTATGAGCAACCTGTTCACTCGGGACTTGAAGACACCCAAGTCATATTTGACGGGAAACACAGCCTCTGGCAAGGAATTCCATTCCTTAGCGGTTCGCATGAGGAAGCTTGACGCGAAACGCTTCGTTCGAATGGGTGGAATGTCCACCATGTAAGGGTGGCGTCCCGCCGTTCGTCTGGTGGTACGGTGGTGAAATGGACTAGGGGGAATAAGTTTGTGCAATTCCCACGCACACTCACCGAAGTGTATCCGATAGAAGACCGAAGAAGAAGGCTTGCGATTTTGCGCCTGTGTTCGAGGCTTTGTAGCCGAGCCTCCACAAGCGATACAATGTAACACCCACTTTTTACTATTTATGTTATGAGTCTCATGTAATAGGGGGTGAGCCTATTGCCATATACCGGGCACAATTCAAGACTCTGTGCTACTACTAAAAATTCAAAAAACTCAGTAATACTTTGGCCAACCCGGGAATCGAACCCGAAACCCCTTGCCTGGCAGTTGCACTTGCGACCACTCGACCAACGAGGCAGACATTACTAACTAACATTATAAGAATATCAATTAACAGACATCACCTTTTACCTACTCAGATAAAGGGTGGTTTGATAAATAGCAATTTACTCACACTCAGATTTGCAGTACTAATAATCACATTTTGAAACAATAGACTATAAAATCTCTTATCTCTAATGCGAACATGCAAATGCAGGTTTTAATTTCATTGAATAATCATCATCATGTTACTAGACTAAGAAATAATTGCTGCTGCCTGCCTAGTTGGCCGAGTGGTCGCAAGTGCGACTACCGGGGAAGGGGTCTCAGGTTCGATTCCCGGGTCGGGCAAAGTAATATTGGGTTTTTAAAAAATTCTCAGTTGTGGCAACGAGTCCGGATTTATGCCCGGTATACGGCAATAGGCTCACTCCCTATTACATGGGACTTATAACATATATAGTGCAAAGTGGGTGTTACATTGTATAGTGGCATAATGTTATGTGTGATGTTATGTTAAACTAAGAAATAAATCAACTTACTTAGGCAACAAACTGAGTGTATTCATGTTTTCAATAGTTAGTGGTAAGTAGTAACTCTTCGTAACAAATTGCTTGATAATCTCATACAACTGTTTTGCATAGTTAGGGTACTTCTGTGTAGGCAGGTTTGATAGGTTGAGGCAGAACTGGCCGAGAGACAGGGTTTCTTGTCGCAAATATCTGAAAATAAAAATTAAACATAATATCCCGTATATCCCTGAGCGGTCACCAGTCACTGCTCGCCACTAACTACATTATAGACCTTATTTCCAATGTTTAGAGACTACTTTTGTATGAAAAAATTTAGGGGATGATTTTCAACAATTTTCAATAGGATTATGTAGATCCTTACTTATATTATAAATCGGATAGTGAGTTTGTTTGTTTGTTCCACTTTGACGCCGTAACTACTAAACCGATTGCTTTGAATTTTTGCAGATGTATAGTTAGAAGTCCGGATTAAATAATAGGGTACTTTTTATCCCGGAAAAATTTGATATTCCCGAAGGAAAACAAAAGTATTGGTATAGATGGCGCTGTGTGTATTGGTATATGGCACATTGGCTTTTTATCCTTTTGTGACGCGAGCGAAGCCGCGGGTAAAAGCTAGTTCAAAATAAAGTTCTATCATGTATAGTAGATAACACCTGTCTTAATACCATTGCTAAGGACAAATAATTCTACCACATATTGCCTGCACAACTGGTGCAGTGGCTGGGTAACCGGCTGCCGCGCAACGTTCGCGGGTTCAATTCCTGCACGGAGCAACTCTGTGTGATGCTCAGATTGTTGTTCCAGGTCTGGGTGTCATGTGTATGTGAACTTGTATGTTTGTAAACGCACCCACGGCACAGGAGAAGATTCTAGTGTGGGACATTAAAAAAATATCTTTCCGAGCAAACAGAACTCTCTTTGGTGTTTCAGATACAGAACATTCTACATAATATCTTTGTTCAAATCAAAACATAAAAGTTTATGGGGTTACTTGACATCTTCAAAACTTCATAGAGTTGTTGTTAGCTTAACTGATGGCTAATTTGACTTTATAATCTTAATTGACTGTCTCATTGGCCGAGTGGTCGCAAGTGCAACTGCCGGGCAAAGCGTCTCGGGTTCGATTCCTTGGTCGGGCAAAGTATTACTGGGTTTTTATAAATTCTCAGTAGTAGCACTGAGTCTGAAATTGTGTCCGATATATGACAATAGGTTCACCCCCTATTACATGGGACTAATAACATAAAAAGTTGGTGTTACATTGTACAGTGGCATTAAGTGCTGTAATGTGCACCTCTGTCTACCCCTTCGGGGATATAAAGCGTAATGTTATGTTATCTTAATTTTGAGCTTAGTGATTGTGAGACAGGCCCTTAGTATAATACAAATGGTACTAACATGCAAGATATGAGATGGCATATCAAATACTCAGCAGCGAGTTTGTCGCCCAACAACAGTTCTGTGAGAGCCTTCAATAAATGTTCGCGCGCCGAATTTGCTTCTTTTAATACTGATTCTGAAATAAAAGGAAATAATTTAAGTAGAATAGATAAATAGCAGATGATTGGCAAAACATGGCGAAAGACATAGAGAATTGGGAAGTGGAGGAGGCCTTCATGCGAGGTGGGGCCCGCACCCTAGTGGAATACTTACCTAGATAGATGACTTATCTTGAAAAAAAAAATTAAATCTATATTTATAAAAGAAAGTCGTGTTAGTTACACCACGTATAACTCAAGAACGGCAGAATAGATTTGGCTGAAAATTGGTAGGGAGGTAGCTTAGAGCCAGGAGACCGACATAGGATACTTTTTAGCCAACATTTTTTTTTTACTTTTTACCGAAAATCACGAACGAGGATCACGAGGGAAAAAATGGGATTACGCGTACGGAGTCACGGGCAGAAGCTAGTTTTTAATATTTTATTTAACTCTAACATCACTGAAGCAGATTAAAGGTCAATGAAAATATACACAAACTTGACTAGAGAATAACAAGAGAATAAAAGACATTATGTTCTAATTATTATTAGGCCTAATTATTATTAACCTAATTATTCTTTGTATAGGGGTAAAAAGATGATAGATGTTTTTATGGGTTAAACCGGTTAACGAGCAGACGGTCCGCTGTCCATGGACATCCGAAACATAGATGTGTTACAAGTGCTTTACCACTAATTATCACTTTTTTAAAAATATCTTTTTTTAAATGAGTAGTACATTTACCTTGATCAAAACTCTGGATTAAAGGGTTGCAATGATCCAACTTCTTCACATACACTGCATGTAGCCTTGGTACTAAGCTCGGTGGAGGGTTGTGAGTGATAGTTTCCACCTCAGACTCCGTCTCAGGATCTAGTAAAGGATCCTTCTCTGGTTGGAACTCCCCTGATAATGCTGGATCTACTGATAAGAAGCCTACTACTTCTATCATCTCATTCAGTTTCACATTCTCACTGTCATCGTAGATCTGAAATGAATGGTAGTGTTGTTTTAATTTTGGGTATTTAAATTGCTGAAATGTTAGTGTTATCAAATCAATCCTAGATTAATAATACTAGAAAAATATGGTAACCCAAAAATGGTGTAATATAAGATCAATTCTTAAGTATCTAACATGTATGACAAAATTAGGTTTTGTTTTTATAATAACTATAGTCAAAAAAAAAATATACTAGTTTAAAAATGACACATTCAACACAGCTCTGCCCAAAATTAAGGAAACAAACAACAATGTTAAACTGTCAAACACCAAGCGGTCACCGGTGACCGCGACCTATTGTTCTTTAATTGTGTCTATAAAACCGGTACTCGACGAGTTAAACATACAATAACAATATTGTCAAGTAAACTCAAATAAATGATCATACCTTAACAATACAAGACTTGCTTGGCATATCAGGCAAAGGGAAGTTTAACAAATGCTCCCTAGACAGTACGCTACCCGTATTAGTCTCCGTATCACTAGTCTTCGGTTCCTTATTGGTAACTACCTCTTCAACCACTTCCATAGCATCAGAATCTTCCTCAGTCTCATCGTGACTTCGTTTCAACTTCGTACCAGTGTTAGTCAAGCGTTTAGATGTGTTTGGTTGTTGTTCTAAATGTTTTAAATGGTTTTGTCTGTCTTCTAACTGCTGTGCCCAGTCATTAAGGCCAGGCATTGACACCACAACCATCGTCTGGCGTTGTGAGCTTCTGAGATTCTCTGTGTAGTTGATTTTTTCATTTTCCTGTGTTGTGTGTGGGTTTTAATTAGATAATCCAATAAGAATAAGTATTTGGAAGTTAGATATTTTAATTTTCTAGTTAGAATTATTTTTGACTTACCAATATATGAGCTGTGTCCCTGTACTTGCCACTTTTACTTTTGGTAACATTTGTGACTGTGTTAAACACTTCAAACTGTTCAAAATAAAACTCAGGATTGTGCATATCCTGTACCATTCCTCGGAAACGGACCAAAGTGCCATCAGGTAGGTTGTGGGAAGCATTTGAATTGATGAGAGGTATCTTAAAAGAAAAATGTAAGGTTAATTAAAGGTCATACTTTTATGACTGTTTTTTTTTTCAATAAAATGCAGTTATGGTGTCATAAACTATACCTGGAACCAATTAGGCAGTTTTAATAGTTTCTCTTTCCATGCTTCTTCGTTTGCCATCCACAAATCAGGTGTAACAGTCTCAAAATCGGTCATTAGATCGTGCATTATAGAAGAGGTCTAAAATTGAACTTTTGTAATATAATAAATTAATTTTTTATATGTTCTGCTTGTGGGTTGTGTTCTATAGTCTATTTTAACCGAATAAATTCACACAAAATATTTCTAATTAATAACACACTTCGGCTATGGTTTTTTTTATTTTATGCCGATTTGACAGCGCGCGAAATAGATAGACACATAGATAATAGAATGAATGAACTGTTTGTTTAGAGCAGTCAACCATAGACTATACTCCACTTAATCCACTTTGTCTTTGTTGTACAGTTTACATTGTTTATGGTAGTAGATGTAGCATCGTTTTGTGGCGGCGTCGGTAAATTAATTTTTAATTCTACCATTTTCTCTGTTTCTTTGATGTTTAATCAGCATTAGCAATCTACAGTACTAATTTGCAGTTAGTTCGTTTAATAATCTCATAAATTCAAGTGGTCTAAACACAGGCCCTGCAAACATTTGGACTTCGTACAAACTTTCATTATGAGTAAGTATATTGGTATTTTATGCATATTTACTCTTGTAATGTGGTAGTGTAGTGATAATGAAAGTAATTATACTTTCATTATTAATCTTTTGTGTAGTATTATTTTGTTATACATGAAAATAATATAAAATTGTATAAGTCGACATAACCTCAAAATTATAAATATGAGCGCCAGCGTCCTACTAAACAATAATTGTTTTCATAATATTATTTTCTTGTTTCAGCAATGGATATTCGGCCTAACCACACGATTTATATCAACAACCTCAATGAGAAAATTAAAAAAGAAGAATTGAAAAAGTCTTTGTATGCCATATTCTCACAATTTGGCCAGATTTTGGACATAGTGGCATTAAAAACATTAAAGATGAGAGGTCAAGCTTTCGTTATATTTAAGGAAATATCCAGCGCCACTGTAGCTTTAAGAAGTATGCAAGGTTTCCCATTTTATGACAAACCTATGGTATGTATTTCAGTACTCTTCAAGCATTAACTGCAACCAATGAAATGAATAGTAATCTAAAAATATATGTTTACTTTTTCAGAGAATACAATACTCAAAAACAGACAGTGATGTCATTGCTAAAATCAAGGGTACCTTCCAAGAAAGACCGAAAAGACCAAAAATGCCTAAGGGTCTTGATGAAAACAGGAAGAAGAAGAATAAGGATCCCAACCGTGCTGGCATGCATATGGGACAAGGAGGCATGCTCAACAATGTCAATGCTGAACAGCCACCTAACCAGATCCTCTTCTTGACCAACCTACCTGATGAGACATCAGAAATGATGTTATCTATGTTGTTCAACCAGTTAGTACAGATTCTTGAATATGAATTAAAATTGTTTAAATTTAACTGTAAATCATTTTTATATAATTTTATTTTACTTTTTACAGGTTCCCTGGCTTCAAAGAAGTTCGTCTTGTGCCAAACAGGCATGATATTGCTTTTGTTGAATTTGCAAATGAAATGCAATCTGCTGCAGCCAAGGAAGCTCTACAAGGCTTCAAGATCACACCTACCCATGCAATGAAGATTACCTTCGCCAAGAAATAATTTAAATGTACAATGTACCAAATTGTTTATATTTAGTCAATAAATAAAGTTTAAGTATTGAGAACTGTTTCGAGCATTGCACTTAGCCTGAACAGCTCTCTTCGGCTGTGATATATTTTTAAGATTTTATAACGAGTTTTACTTTTAAAATGGGATATTTTTAGCCCAATTAACAGTGGAGTATACACTTCACATGATTTGATTACTCCGTCTTTTTAGGTATAAAGCACCTATTAGTTTTATGGTGTAAATTTCCACCTAAAATATTTCACAAAAAAATGCGTGACGCGAAAATTGTTGACCCGGTGGAAACGACTTAATTCGCAAAAACTACCATTTCTGGAAGAAGTTTTGTCAAGTAATCTGGCAATTTCTACCAGGTAAAATACGTCTAAATTAAACCTGAAGATATGCCCGCTAAAAAGAGACAGATATATACGCTTTGCTGATGTATGAAAGGGACAATCGTATTATTTCCATCAATGAACATAATCCGTATTATTTTATATTTTTGGTGATTGCGAAACTGTCAAACGGGTCGCAGATGAGATGATTTCATTTATTTTTCTTTGAAATATTTATTGTTTTTAAGTTAATTTCTTCTTTTAGCGAAGTGCCTTTGAAAGACCTAACGGTTTATATATAATTTAGTTGTGTTTGTTAGTGATTTTGGTTTTAAAACATGGAAGATATATTTCAGTGGTGTAGGGAAGGAAATGCATTACAGGTACGAGTTTGGCTGGATGATACGGAACATGATATGAATCAGGGGTAAGTAGACTATATCCTCGATGTATTTCATTAATGATACCCCATATGGATCATCTAGTTCTTCCGAATATGGTGTTGAGAGAACACGCCCACTATGTAGTCATGGCCTAGTACTATGCGTCAGATGTGTACAAAAATAATAATAGTCTGTGGTTATGAGATCAGGTATTCGACCTTCGTGGTGCATAAATTAATGAATTATTAAAATAATAAGCTTTTCGTTCATAAGTGGGTCATAATCTCCTGAAAAGCTTGTCTGAGAATAGAACTGATCTTATTAGAAACTATAGTTGCTTTGTATGATGTATCTGTTCTACCTTTTCCTGTTGATTTGATTGCCATGTATTAAAATATAGTTTCCTCATTTGAATTCAGGAAATAAATATAAAAAAGACACAGAATATGATTCCATTAGCAGATCCATGAAGAATATTGTTTTATTTGAATTACATGTTTTGTGTCTCAAAATAATTAATGTTTTCTATTACAATTGGCCTATCTACAGACTTTTTATTTCTATTTTTTCTAAATATTGTTGTACTTATGGGGGGGGGGGGGGTTAATCAACTAGTAACATCTCCCGCCTTGGTTGAGGTAAGAGTGTCAGACTCTTACTGACTAAAAATCCTACTTATAGCCGGAGTCAGTTTTAGTTGTCGGAAGTATACCTAAATTTTAAGATGAGAGTAACATTCTAAGTATCAATTTTCTTATGCAGTTACCAGCTTTCCGCTCACTGTTTTGCCTGTATGACCTAAGGAGGAAAGTTGTCTTTACCACTTGGCAGCCTCCATTACAAACTATCTTGAGGTCAACAACCAGTTCATAAAAATGCTCTATAGCAAAATGAAAAAAAAAAAACAAAAATCACTATATTATAGTAAGGAATAATTATAATACAATTTATATACTAACCCAAAAGCTATAGAGTTTATATTGCTTTAGTCACAGTAAATCAATAAGTCTCAAAAATAGGAATATTTGTACTATGTTATGGCTTATGGCATCATTCATTGAGGAAAACATTAGTCATTGGAAGGAAATCTAAGAAATGTAACTAATGTAGGTAATTAGTTCAACCTTTGCAACTCATAAATTGGATCTAACTACACAACTTGTAGTATTTATCTTCAGGACACTATAGTTGTTTGTATGCAAGGAAAAATATGAATTTAAAAGACTACATTGTTCTGAATTTTTCAAATAAAAATATTTTAGTACTACATCTGAAAAATATGTTGTGCAGTATTTATATTGGTTACGTAAATGCGCTTCCCATATCTCTCTAGCCATTTAAAACAACAACAACTGAAATGAAAAAAAGCATATATACGGTCGAATTAAGAACCTCCTCCTTTTTTTAAGTCGGTTAAAGATATAACTGTACCAAACACTTTAAACGTCTAAATTCATTGGTAAATGTATATTTTTTTAAACATTGCCCCGATCTTGGATTTTCTCTTGTGTCGTGCATACATTTACAAATATACAAGTTCACACACATGACACCCAGAACCGGAACAACAATCTATGAATCACACAAAGAGTTGTTGAGTGAGGGAATCGAACCCGCGATACGATGCGCGGCAGCCAGTTGCACGGCCACCGCGCGAACCGTGCAGTATATCTACCACTATTTAAGCTACATTAGTTACCACCCTTCTAATATTGTAAATGAGAAAGTTAGTATGTTTTTTTGTTATAACAATAGTCATGTCTCATTCCAGAGATGACCATGGCTTCAGTCCACTCCACTGGGCTTGCAAGGAAGGTCACATCAAGATCGTTGAGATGCTCATCCGCCGCGGCGCTCGCATCAACGTCACTAACATGGGTGACGACACACCACTACATCTTGCAGCCGCCCATGGGCACAGACCGATTGTGCAGCTGGTAAGTTGTCCATACAATTTTCAATGGATGTCAGGTAGAAACTACAGAGACTTGCATACTATAGATATTTGATACGGAGCCGCGGAAGGCTTAACGTGTTGCCGGGGCTCGGCTCGTGAGCATGAGTAGGAACGGAGTGGTTTTTAGTCAGTTAGAGTCTGACACTCCCTCTCGCCTAACCCACGGCGGGAGAAGTCACAGGACGATTATCACTACTCAAAAAAAAAAAAAAATTAAATACTATAGATATTTCTTAAGCTACCACTCCAAAATCTTTGAAGATGATACACATCTATATGATATGCACAGAAAGTTATAGCAATTAAGTCAACTGTACTTCGAGCCACTATTCCTCTACATAAGAGGGACCCAATAACATCATAAAAATCTACAATACGACATAAAACTAGTTAATAAAACAAAAAATAAATTAACCTTGTTCCCCTACAGCTGCTACAAAACCGTGTGGATGTGAACTTTACGAACGAGCATGGCAACTCGCCGCTACACTACGCTTGCTTCTGGGGCTACAGTGCGATCGCAGAGGACTTGTTGATGGCTGGAGCTCTCGTGTCGTTGGCTAACAAGGACGGAGACACGCCATTGGACAAGACTAGGGGACAACTTGTGCAGAGGTAAGCATAATCTAGCCAATCGTATAGTAACAATAACTTGTCCACAAAAAACTTGAAATGTTTAAACGCTACTTTTTGTAGTCGCTTTATTTGTATCATATCTCCTAGGATCGCCAGAAATAGGATATGATTATTTTCAAAAGATAATTTCAAACCAATCTATACAGTAGTGAAAATGACAATCACAATTATCTCACTTTCAAATAACTGACAATCTAAAGTACCAAATTATATCTCCACAGACTGCACGAGCTAGCCACCCAACAGGGACAAGATCTGAAGAAGATTCAGTTCAAGGACCAGTCCTGGCTCGGCTTGAAGACAAGGAGCAGGGACGCCACGCTCTCCCGCCATAAAGGCATCAACATCAACGAACTGTCGCTGCATACCAGAATCGCTGTTACTCCCTCAGGTACTGTATGCCATTGGCAAATTAGATTTTGGAGTGATTGTTGGGAGGTTACCGGTACCGGTTACCGAGGCCTCTTCCCTAGATCAGCAATGTACTTACTTATTAGTTGGCTATGCACTTTTTATGTTTTTTTTTTAATGTTTTTGGTGTTGCGTATCTCCATGGGCGGCACTGATCGCTTACCATCAGGTGATCCGTCTACGCGTTTGATCCTATTCCATTAAAAAAAAACATTCTTCCAGGTGAGACGTGGCGCGGCAGATGGCAGAAGAACGACATAGTGGCCAAGATCTTGGCGGTGCGCGAGTGTACGCCGCGCATACAGAGGGACTTCAACGAGGAGTTCCCCAAGCTGAGGATATTCTCGCATCCTAATATATTGCCTGTTGTGAGTATTACAAGTAAAAAATAATATTATGTCCGAAGTATGGAATAAGTTTACCTCCTTATTACGTGAAGTCGTGAACTGGTGGACTCATAATTAGTTAATAGTGTACACCTATTCTTCTTTGAACATTGAAAACCGTTACGACACTGATTATTGAATATAATCTTAATATAACTATTAAATGCATTTTCTTGCCTGTTTTTATTTTGAATAAACATATATAAAGCCAGGACTATGAGTTCGATAGTTTGAACTATTGACTTATTTTTTATGTCCTTTTTTTCGTGTGTTTCAGTATTTTTTTGCCTTATCCATGTATAATAAAATAATATTTCAATTGCCAGGTGGGTTGCTGCGTATCCCCGCCATCCCTGGTGGTAATATCTCAGTACATGTCGTGGGGCTCCCTGTACGGGCTGCTGCACGGCGGGGGCGGCGGCGCGGGCGCGGGCGGCGCGGGCGCGCTCGTGCTGGACGCGGCGGCCGGGGCCCGGCTCGCGCACGACGTCGCGCGCGCCATGAGATACCTGCATGCACTGCAGACTGACAAGATTCTGCCCACTTATGCGCTTAATTCTAAGCATATTATGGTATGTTATATTAATCTCTACTTAAACTTTTGTCTAACAAAATAAAAGTAAATACATATCCTAATATCCTATAATGTGGCTTATGTTTGTTTTGTCCCCAAAACAATGTGTTAGTCATGTGCTTTAAATACTACTCAGATTGTCAACTATCAGATTACATAATTTTGAGCGTCTTTACCGTCCCCTCAGGTAATAAAAAGACGTGAGACGTTACATTAGAACTATGCTTGCTTTAAATATGGAATAGTCCTACATTATATTATAACACGATTATTTAATATTATCTTTCAGATCGACGAAGACCTGACAGCCCGCATAAACATGGCGGACTGCAAGTTCTCGTTCCAAGAGAAGGGTCGCGTGTACTCGCCGGCGTGGATGGCGCCCGAAGCCCTACAGAAGCCCCCGTCCAAGCGGAACCTGGAGGCCGCCGACATGTGGAGCTTCGCCATCTTGCTTTGGGAACTTGCTACTAGAGAAGTAAGTAGTATTGATTCTATTCTTTCTTATTCAAAAGATTTCTTATTGTCAATAAGTATTACAAAATCATTCATCAAGAGAGAAGACAACTTTTGAGTCAATCACCGATCGTGTAGTATACCACTTCGTAGTAAAGATACTAAAGGTGGTATTTGCACCGTGAACTACGTACATAAAATTCTTTATTTATAGAGGGAAAATGAGGATTATTTTTCATGTTACCTACCAACCTTAGTCTTCCATATTCTTCTTGTCTTTGTTAAAATGGGATTTTTTATTTCCCAAGGGGATTTTTGCATAACTTTGTTATGGCTAACTGCAAATTAAGGACTTTATATTGTTAGTAAAAAAATAGTTTTTATTTTGGTAGCAGCTCTCATCTTTATAACTATAACTTCAGATCCCTTTCGCTGACCTGTCGCCAATGGAATGTGGTATGAAGATAGCGCTGGAAGGTCTCCGCGTCACAATCCCGCCTGGCATCTCTCCGCACATCGCCAAACTTATCAAGATCTGTATGAACGAGGACCCCGGCAAACGACCCACCTTCGAAATGGTAATACCTATCCTCGAGAAGATGAAACGCTGAAATTGAACAAAGATTTTTATATAAAATATTTATTTATGTGTCTGATATTATGATTATGTTGCAAGGTGTGTATTTGAAATATGTATACTTTAATAATTTACACAGTACCTGACGATAAATGTTGTATGTATGTACATCGGTCTCTGGTAAGAGAAAAGTCGTGTATACTGCTCATGATTATAAGCCGTTCAAACTAGTGGAGCAGTCTCTTCGAATCATAAAAAGTTTAATAAAAAAAAGTTGTACGACAATTGGGTAGTTTCCAGGGTATCAAAATTAAAAATCGAATTAGTCCGTCAGTTAGATAATGAAAAAATATTAGACACGTATTTTTTATTTTCTTGTATTAAGTTTCAAAAATGCCGCTAAGTTTAAGAGTGGGAGGTTGTTACGTCATAACGTGCTACAAAATGTGGCACCCTGTGACGTCACACGATATTTCAAATTAATATATCGTCGAAAGTATTTAATTTTGTGAGAAAAGAAAAAATACGTGCCTAAAGTTTTAATTAATGTACCAGACGGACATTAAAATAAAATATATGAAACTACCCTATTGATTGCAATCGTATCATCACGCAAATTAATTATCTTTCCAAAGTAGATATATAAGTAAGATTTATCGCTGGCTACTGTAATGTATATTACATGAGAAAAAAAGTGAAAAACATATTTGTTTGTTTCGTCTTTATTTTTTTATATAATTATTAATTTCTCTTACAACGAAGTACTCAACCCACCTTGGATTTATAATATTTTTGATTAAATGCATTTCAAATACACACCTTGTTCAACTCAAAACGCCAAGTACTATTAATGTTTATGAATTTTTATTTACGAAAACAAATGTACAATATATGGCTTTTATTATGTGACGCCTGTATGCTGAAATGGTATTCAATTTTATAGATTATGCTGTGATGAAGTATATTTTACATATATTTTTTTTTTAAAAAAACCTTGCCCCACACTAGGATTTTCTCCTGTATCGTGGGTGCGTTTACAAACATATAAGTTCACATACACATGACACCCAGACCCAGAACAACAATCCGTAGATCACACAAAGAGTTGTTCCGTGCGGGAATCGAACCCGCGACACGTTGCGCGGCAGTCAGTTGCCCGACCATCGCGCCAACCGTGCAGTCTTTATTAGTCGAGATACAATACAAAGTATGTACACACATTCTAATGCTTCATATGTTTGTGTATTCTTGGACAGTTGACATCTCTTTTTAGACTTTGATCACTGGAAAATTTGACTGGAAATTCATTGTCCTAAAGACAGATACTTTAAGTACATTTTAAAGTTTAATATCATTTGAGTATTTAGGTATTAATGTTTGCTGACTGTAAATTCCGCATTTCGATGTTTGCAATAGGTGATTATATACGAAACCAATTTTAGGTGTAAGAATAAAAAGAAGTATATTTATCGTATATGTTGTCATTAACTGATGATTTTGCAAGAAAATCGTAGGAATTAAAGCATCAGTGCCATCAATAATATTATAAGCATTTCAAATTATATGTCCTAAATTTTTTTCAACCTTTTTTTACGTAATCTTATTTAAAAGTTAATTGTATTTAAACATCACTAAAACCATCTTGTCTAACTGCCAGTATTTTAAGTGTTGTTTAGTACTTAGGTTGTGTTAGTTAAAATAATCTTTTGGTTTTAATAAATTGTGAATTTTCGAAATAATTTTACTAAATTATATTATTTTCTACAGATTATTAAGGATATGTGCTAATATATAAATCGGTGCTAAAGCAAATATTATATGAAACCATAGAGCTATAATATTTATATCAATACCTGTGACAATTAGAAAATGCTTTGTTATAAGAATGACGAATATTTTTCTTTTTTTTTAACAATATTATGTCTCGATTGAAGCTAATAGAATCTCTACCATGTTTGTTGTATTGTTGAGATGAAATTTAATTGCAGTAATCATGTATTGTATAGTAAAACTAATTGTTAACGCTATTGTGAACTGTGCCTTATAATCCGGCCAAATAACATATTGCCTTATGAAGTTATGACATAACTGTTACAACATAAGAGTAGATTTTAAATATTTTTGATGACAAATAAATGTTACAACTTTCATAAAGTTGTTTAATAAACTAACGATTTAGTAATACAATTGTGTTTTATTTTTTAAGTCTGATCCAGTTTGTATATTCTATTCAAGGAAACTACAGTCTTGAAATGATAGGTATTGACCAGTTATGGATCTCACATGTGGGTGGGAGTGACTGGCTTAAAATAGTCCTATTTTCCATAACATCTCAAACATTTCGATGAATGTTACTTATTTTCAATTATAAGACAGTTAAGGTAGAACTAGTATTAGTAGATTAAAAATTTTAGATACCACGTCTTTTTGGACTCATCTCTTACTTTGTTACGAACTCCTGATACCCCAGAACAAATGTAACGTATTTTCATATGAAAGTTTCTTTATTCAGACAGTACTTTGAAGCGAAATTATAATGTATTTCGTAAAATACATAACATCACGCCTTTTATCCCCGAAGGGGTAGGCAGAGGTGTACATTATGTCACTGTACAATGTAACACCCACTTTTCACTATTTATATTATGAGTCCCATGTAATAGGGGGTGAGCCTATTGCCATATACTGGGCACAATTCCAGACTCCGTGCTACTACTGAGATTTTTTTTTAAACTCAGTAATACTTTGCCCGACCCGAGAATCGAACCCGAAACCGAAACCCCTTGCCCAGCAGTCGCACTTGCGACCACTCGACCAACGAGGCGTAAAATCCAATTAGTAATTAAACTAATACATTTTTTGGCGTAATCAGATGATTGTACATTGGTACTCATCTGATTATGGTACTCAGGTTTAGATATCTATAGCATGTATACCGCGGTAACTGGTTTTATTTTTATTATGGAATAGGAGGCAAACGAGCATACTGATGGTAAGCGTTCAGCGCCGCCCATGGACACCCGCAACACCAAAGGAGTCACAGGTGCGTTGCCGGCCTTTTAAAAAGGAATACGCTCTTTTCTTGAGGGTTTGAAGGTCGTATCGGTTCGGAAATTCGCAGCGGTAAGTCCCCTCTTTGAGGAGTGGCTTGAGAGACGGTACGGCGTCCTCACCTACCGCCTGACGCAGGTCCTCACCGGACATGGGAGCTTCAGGAGTTACCTGTGTCTCATAGGGCGGGAGGAAACGCCCGGGTGTCATCACTGCGAGGACCGCCCTGAGGACACGGTGGAACACACAGTCGGAGAATGCCCCGCGTGGGCTGAGCACATCAGACCACCACGGATGGGGCCCAATAGGGCTGATACGGAGTCCCGGAGAACCTAACGGGTTACCGGGGCTTCGGCTCGAAGTGCAGGAGTAGGAACGGGGTGCTTTTTAGTCAGTAAAAGTGTGCCACTCCCTCCCGCCTCACCCAGGCGGGAGCAGTCATTCGATGAATTTCCGCCTAAAACAAAATAAAAAAAAATTGGTTTGGAGATACCGCCGACAACTGATCATTCCACAGTTTTGCTGTGCGAGGCAGAAAGCTACGCGAAAAACGCACAGCGCACAGTTGTGACCTACCAACCACCAATATGATGGGGATGCATATGCTGTCGTGGCGAATGGCGAAAAGATGCGGCAATATCAGGTCAAACAATTCCTCAGAGCACTCCCCGTGGTATAAGCGATAGAAAATGCACAACGAAGCTACATCTCAACGCATTGCCAAAGTGTCTAGCCGGTTTGAAACATCCCGACATCCAACAATCTGAACGGCACGCCGCTGCGCGGTCCAGAGCTAGAAGCTGGTACTGGGGTGCCCCCGCCCAAAGATGAGAATAGTATTCCATGTGGGGCCGAACCTCCGCCTTATTTAGAAGCATGCGGTGGGCCGAGGTGAAATACTGCCTCGATCTATTGAGCATACCAAGTTTACTCGAGGCTAATTTGGCCTTATCCTCTAGATGATCGCGAAACTGGACGTCGCTCGAAATGCTGACACCAAGTATTCGAATACCGGCTGAGGCAGCTAGGGGGGTGATTTAAAATTGAGGAGAGACGACCAACGGCAGTTTCTTAGCGGTAAACACGCAGACGCAGACCTGTGTCTTAGTAGAGTTAAACTGGACCAAATTACGTCCACCCCAATTAGAGATTCTCCCTAAAGAGGTCTCGATTTCTGATGCGAGTCTATTTTGGCTCTCTATGACATTTTCCCGAGAAATGTAAACGGGGTCGGTGTAGGAGGCATCGCCTGTACTGTCACCCGCATAACAACGAATGCCGCTGATTTGCAGCATGTCATTGATATGAAGGAGGAGCAATGTAAGCGACATCACGCAGCCAGAACAATTACCGTCGACAACAACCCTAATGCTACTGTCTTCAAGGAAGTAGGAGACCCATTCGCATAATTTCGCGGGAACCCCGTAGGAAGAAAGCTTCGAAAGAAGCGCTCTATGCCAAACCCAATCGAAGGCGTTCGCCACGTCCAAACTTACTGCCAACACTTAAACTGGTAAACTGGTAAACTGGAAGATCACCAGCAGACCTATACGACCTATATGACCTATACGAAAGTCGTATGCTGGTCATTGAGCAGCTGATGATCCTCTAAGTAACGCTGGAGCTGCCAGTTAATAATGGACTCCAATATTTTCGAGAAGACGGAAGTTATGGCTATTAGTCTGTAGTTGGACCTATTAGATCGATCACCTTTTTTAGGGATCGGGTGGACTGAAGCTATCTTCCATAACGTCGGAACGACGCCCGAAGCGTAAATGAGCTGAAAAAGACGTGTTAGAACCGGAGCCAAATCAGACATCTTCAAAACGCCATGGATGGGATCCCATTAGGCCCGCTTGACTTATGGACGTCATGGGACAAGAGCGCCAAACGTAAGAGCGCTATATAATGTCTGGTATATACCTCCCGCACCATGGCACGACAGGCGGCTCGCGCCCACCGTCATCCAGAGTCGAATTGGAAGCAAAGATTTTCCCCAAAAGTTGAGTTTTATCCCTTGCATCATGAGCCATCGATTCCCCACCCATGTGCAGAGGTGGAAATGACGCCCTGCAGAAATTGCCCTCGATAGCTTTGGTGAGCGACCAGAATGCACGAGTCCCTGGCGTTCAAGCCTTTCAACAATTCTACCGAAGTGCTGCGACTTGGCCCCGCAATGGGTCTTTTGAAGGAGACACTTGGAGACAAAGTTATACTCCTTTTTTAGTGCGCTGATATTTACATCCCGTGCCACCACCGCATCGGCCCAGGCTTGGTAGACCACCCACTTTCTGCGTAAGGCCTTTTTGGTAGAAGTACCAAACCAAGGCCGATATCTGCCACCGATGGGGACTAGAGAAGATGGGAGCACCAGGAAGCACCACATCAGTAACAGAATTGGCAGCGGCGTTGGGATCATCCTGCAAGAAGCAAACCCGCCTCCAACGGTAGGATACAAAAAAGGACGGCATCCCATGCCAGTCTACCGACCTATAGTGCCATACACAGCAACCACATGCCTTTTGTAGTCGCGGTGAGCACGTCCAGGATACAGAGCTCCGGACAAGGTAATGATCCGATGAGCTAAGAGGGGCATCAACGGATACGCTATAGCCGTCCGTGTGAGAGGTTGTACAATATTCCAATTTTTACAAAAGGGCGCATGCTTTTCATCCTTTTATACTACTATTTTAATTTAAATAATAAATTAATATCCAAATAAAATTACTGATCATGTTAGTTTATACCTTATCTCAAAAAACCAATGTTCTCGAAAAGAGTGAATGATATTAGCTCATAGTGAACATTCCATCCCCTCATAACATAGAATTCAACATATTTTGCATTTTTGTTATTCAAATGTCAATGTCATTGTTCAGTTTGACATTTCATTTTGTTGGTGAAGGCGTTTATTTATTTAATTTCTACTCATTATTCTTGTTTTCATAAATTTCAACCAATAATGCAATGAAATAGTGTAACTATTCTAGAGTTTATTGCAATATGGAACCGGGACAGAGTGCGGAATCTGGTGTATTGCCTAAAATTACCGATGTCGAGTGGAAATTGGAAGTTTTGACGAATACTCCTGGAGTTGGTTCAGAAAATTTGTTATATACGGTTATTCTGAAGACGGATGATGGCAACGATGTCCGGTTTACGTGTGGAAGTCAGCAGCTGCAAGATTTGGTGTATAAACTAAAAGACTTAGTGCGACATTGTGAGAAATCGAAAAGTGAGCTGACTTAATGTTTTGAAAGTATTGTTTGTATATTTTTTTTATAACAGAGTAAAATTAATTCCATTTATGTGATATTATATGTTTTATGTTTCAATATTTTACTCCCATATATTGTAAACTTCTTTATAAACACTCATGTGTTCAAATTGTCATGAAAATTTAATGTCATATTTGTAAAAATAGGTAAAATGTAAAATTAAACAAGATATTCTTATTCAAAATAACTTTATTTCAAAATACCATATAAAGTACCATAGTGAGAACACAAATCAGAAAAAAACAATTCCATTGTGTAAAACATAAAGCTGATCACAGATTAACTAAAAATGACTTAAGTGAGTAGGTAAGCTGCATTTTTTCATAATAATCATCTACCATTAAATTATGAACTACTGTAATAACTTTGAAGTTGGATACAGGTCTCTTCCAACCGGTTGATTTGAAAGTCGTTAGGGGCCTATGTTCAGCAGTGCGCATCCTGTGTCTAACATTCATAATGATGGTAGTGATGAAAAAGCCTTCCAAACATTATGAAGATCCAAGATAGTTAGTAAAATAAAATAATGGGGATGATGACAGGGTATGAAAATTAAAAATATAATTAGTCCGTAAGTTAGGTAATGAAAAAATATTAGACACGTATTTTTTTATTTTGTCGTATAATAAAACAATACTTAGATAAAACGAATCAAAGTTTAGGAGTGGGGGCTAAAACGTCATTCCTTAGTATAAAATGTACTGAGAAGTGACGTCACGCGACATTTCAAATTAATATATCTTCGAAACTATTCGTTTCTGTGAGAAAATAAAAAATACGTGCCTAATGTTTTTAAATAATCTATCAGACGGACATTAAAATAAAAATTAGTCGTCTACCCCATTCATGTAATATTGCACATTTTCTCAACAGTTCAATATTTCATACAGAATGCTTGAATCTGCAAGTTGGTCCAATATTTGCCAAGGTTTGTCACACACATATACTTATAGTAGTTCATAATTTAACACATCTACTCTAGGGTTAGCTTCTTGGGACTATTGAATGCTTATATATTAATATTATTCATAAATTTATCTTAAAATATCACAATATCAACAACTACTCTACCACAATACAATGAACATTTTAATTATACTGTATTTATGGAAGCCACAGATTCAAAAAGATAGCAAATCGTTTTAAAATTTCTTTTTAAAAGTTTATTGTCTATTGCAGCATATTGCACAACAAAGACAAGGCTTCTAAAATGTTTTGGAGTACTTCAAAAATAAATAAGATCTTCATGCATAAATCATGTTTCCTTCTTGTTTCTGGCTTCCCAATAAACACAGTCTACAACACAATTAATGAATTAACCTAATCTCAGACTTAGTAAATAATTTTGCATTCAGATTCGAAAATAATCACAGAGACCTTACATTAACATGACGGATAGAATTTTGACAAACAGTACTTTAGGCCTAGAGAACTGATGCTACAACAGTTTCAACATTATCCAGATTAAAATTCTTAGCACATCAATCATAGCTACAGTTTTTTCTGCTCACCAGATGATACTCATATTATTATAGGGTAAGGGTCCTGGCCATCGACATATAATAATGGACATGCCTTAGAGATGAGAATTGTGGCACTCCGAAAGAAAGAGAGGAAACAAAGTTTCGGTCTATCCTTATCTCTCTCAAAATAGTACCGTAGTTAAGACGATGAGCGAGAAAGAGATAGCGCTAGACCGAAGGCATAGGCCATCTCTATCACTCTTTTCAAACAAAAAAATTACTGCAGATTATACGCGTACAGCATGTCCATTAGTATATGTCGATGGTCCTGGCTTTCCAATAGAAATGTAGCTGGATATTGGGCATTGACAGTTTCAATGATAGGATAAACAGACCTCTAGCAACATTAGCATGTCAGTGAGAGTCTGACACTCCCTCTTGCTACACCCTAGGCAGGAGATGTCATTGGACAATATTCCGCCCTAAAAAATGGCGACATTAGCACCATCTATAAGCAAAAAAACTGTAGCCTCCATTTTATTATATCAATGTGTAATAAAATATTCCTTTACTTATGATTCATTAGCTGCATACATAGGTTTTATTACCGATATAGTTTAACATCTAATTCTACTAACATTTTATATTGTGATATCAATACTGAGTTAGGATTTCAGGATTTGACGAGACAAGTCTTTATCTTATACTATTCTTAAAGGCAAAATTAGCTCGTCAAATATTACTACGTCAACTAAGTTCTATGAACTATTGTGTCACTATTTTCATATTTATTGAAGTGATGTATCAAATTGTAATGTTTAATTTTAATCTCGTGTGCGTATTAAATGCAAGCACACATTAAAAGCAAAGTCATGGTGTTAAATTCGTAGCCATTAAATTAAAATTAGTCTAATTTCAAATAAGGAACTAAATTTTTAATAATTCAAAAATTAAATAAGCAATTTTGTTTATGCAACCAAGTTAACAACGAAATTTTTTGTTTAATGTTATAAGTTATAAAATTGTAACAGTCAATATTTTAAAATAGCAGCTTTTACTGTTTTGAACTTGGCTACCGTTAAATTTTCTATTTTTCAACTAAAATATAAATAAACATAACAAACAACACACATAGATATAAATACAATATTACAACACACTTATACTGATATAATTTTGGAATTATCACATAACACTTTTATTATTATTTTAAAGCCTTATTAATATTTTTATTTTATAAGCATTAAGTGCGTGCACAAACAAAAATAAGTGAAAGAAATCCCTTAAACATAACATTATTATTATTAAAACAAAAATAGCAAGTATTCAATATTTTTTGGTCACATTCACTGGTAGTGTTGCCAATATTCATTGAACATTATTTTAATTTCCACAGATAAATTAGATTGCTAGATATATTCAAACCTGGCAACACTTAACTGGCTGGTATTTAATAGCTGTATTAGTAAATTATTATTATGTATGAAGGGTATGCCCCCCATAGTTAATAACAAACAAGGATTTACTAAATAACTAATTTTATATTGTATCTATAGTCAAAATTCAATAATAATAGAAAATTGGTACAATGGAACACATCAAGTAATTTCTGATTTTAAATGATTTACTTAACCCATAGTTGTATTCTGATAAATGTAATTCAAAACTTATTATAATCACTTAATTGTAAATTAGCGTGATTTTAACTAATTCCAAATAGTTATTAATATTAATTTATTCATGACAATAGTAAATGGTACACAGAATTGCTTTTAATATTTCCTTCTCTGTTTTTCATAAGCCAATTCACAAATCAGTCTCTGAAACCATACTTTCCTTTGCCTTAAATAACACTAGTCAACAAAAAAACAATTTTTGCATGTAACATGAGAACTTTTGTCTAGTTATGTTTAGGACAAGGATAAGGATACTAGAAATAAAATTAAAATGCTTCAAATACGAATAGTTTTTTTGTAATACCATTTTATAACATTTTAGAAATTTTGAATTTTTATAAACAAAAAGAAGTTATTTCGATTGATTGCTACATTAATATGAATTTACTTTTATGATTTTCGTCTGTATTTTGCTTCAGGAACGTCTCGTTTTAATGTCCAACAGTAATCCGCTAACATACGTGGGCTCCACTTGCCCTGATATCGTTTTTCTATGGTAAAAATGTCTTGATGGAATCTTTCACCGTGTTCATCGCTGACGGCGCCCAAATTTTCAGGAAAGAACTCTAAATGTGAATGGAGAAAATGTATTTTCAATGACATATTACAGCCCAAAGCCTTATAAGTAGATAAAAGCTCCGTGATAATACATTTATAGTCACTTGATCGGTGATTTCCTAGAAAATTAGAAGTTACTTTCATGAAAGATTCCCAGGCTGATTTTTCTAAATTACTAAGCTTTTCTTTAAATATATCATCTTTCATCAATTGCCTGATTTGGGGGCCAATAAATATACCTTCTTTCTCTTTTTGCTTCACTCAGCTTAGGAAATTTTTCTTTTAAATATAAGAAGCCGCCACCACTCTTATCCATAGTTTTTACGAAGTTCTTCATAAGCCCAAGCTTTATGTGTAAAGGTGGTAAAAATACGTTCTCAGGCTGCACCAATGGAGGGTTTTTAATATTTTTTTAGTCCTGGAGTAAGAGATTGCCTTTTGGGCCAGTCTTGCTGAACATAATGATTTTTTCGGTGTCAAATTCCTTCGCTGAGTTTTGAAAGTAAAGTCACCACAAATGTAACAAAACTTGTCAGGATCATTTTTACACTTTCTAGACATTATTTAAGAATCACTTTACTCTAAAAACAGAACAAACCACTACGCTCTTCAAATAAACAAATTCTCTGAATGCGAAAGTAAAACAAAAAAAGGTTAATTTTTAATTTTGTGGGTAGTAGCTGTAACACGAAAACTAGATGTGATGGAATCAAAATAAATATGGTTATAAAATGAGGGTAGGTAGGTACTTTAAAATTAGCCAGCACCTTTCTTGTTACAAAATTTTGTTGACTAGTGTAATCTATAGTTTAAGTAATTCATTTCCTACTTGATTATAGTGATTATGTAATATTTCAAAGTAGGCCTGATGCCTGAGATCTTAGTCAGTCATTGTTTACAAAGAGGCTGCATTACTGTCATTATCAAATACTGGATGAAGCACCAACATACATTTTAAATTATGAATCGCATTTAGGCATCTTCATTTATGATTATTCTTTTAGATGAATGTATATTCTCCCATTACGGAAGACATACATTTTTAAATGGATTTGTACATATGAATACTGATAAATATGAGCTCTGCACAACATATATCTTTTACAAATATAGATATTTTACTCAGCTCTTTGATACTCAGTGCTGTAAAAGGGATTTTTGAAACGAGTTCACATTATAATATGTCATTAGATGCCAAAATTCTGCGGCTATTTTTCTCAATGCATACCTGTCTCCTGTTTAGTGACGTCAGTGTTTCTGGCAGGAAACTGACTCTCGACTTCGTTATGAATTCGTAGGTGCCCAGTATCCCTCTACAGAGAGAAGAATTTAAGGAAGGCCGCAGGGGGGACGGGGTGCGGAGGGAGAGGACCTCCGGCCTCCTTGAGCCTCTCGCGGTACTCCGGGCACTGGTCGGCTATGCAGGGATGTCCCAGCGAACGCCAAAACAGGCACTTACAGTGGCGACATAGGGATAGTGTTTCAGCAAACTGCGTGTCTTCTCGAAGACCGTACATCCTTGGGAAGAAATTGTTTTAGTAAATAACATATTAGCTAAGTAATAAATAAATATTATTGGGTTTACACGGAGCCTAGAACTATGTCAGTTGTACTTACGATAAAAAATCCTCTCTATTAGATACAAGAAACTCACAATCATTAGATGAAATTGGAGGTCACATTATTTTAATAGCATAACATAACATAACATCATGCCTTTTATCCCCGAAGAGGTAGGGTTTTTTTTTAGGGGGGGAAAATCGTAGAATGACTGCTCCCGCCTGGGTGAGGCGGGGGGGAGTGTCAGACTCTTACTGACTAAAAACCACCCCGTTCCTTCTCCTGCACGTCGAGCCGGAGCCCCGGTTACCCGTTAGGTTCTCCGCGACAAATAATATAACATATCATCATCTTTTATCCCTGAAGGGGTAGGCAGAGGTGCACGTTACGGCACTTAATGCCACAGTACAATGTAACACCCACTTTTCACTTTGTATGTTATGAGTACCATGTAATAGGGAGTGAGCCTATTGCCATATACCGGGCACAATTCCAGACTCCGTGCTACTACTGAGAATTTTTAAAAAACCAGTAATAGTTTTTAATTGTAAGTTTACTAGCTTTTACCCGCGGCTTCTCTCGCGTCACAAAAGGATAAAAAGTAGCCTATGTGACATACCAATACATACAGCGCCATCTATACCAATACTTTTGTTTTCCCTCGGGAATATAAAATTTTTTCGGGATAAAAAGTACCCTATTATTTAATCCAGACTACTAACTTTACGTCTGCAAAAATTCAATGCAATCGGTTTAGTAGTTACGGCGCGAAAGTGGAACAAACAAATAAACTCACTTTCCGATTTATAATATCAGTAAGGACGTATGTTATTATTGCCATTTTACTTACTTTCTTAGCTGATGGAATAGCTTCTTCCAATCGAACTCCTTCTCATCAGCGATATCTTCTTTGTTCTTGGCGAGGGCAGCATCAATCTGTTGCTGAGTGAAGTGGAAGTTGACCAGCTCGCGCCAGATACGCTGCTCATTGCATACTGACGCCATTACTGTCCATGCTGATGAAGCAGCCTAGAAAATATAAGTTAATACAAATTAATCAATGTATGACAGTTAGACGGACACACGGCTACACATCGAGCTTTACATAACCAGTATAAACTGAACGTTAAATGTGCTGAAAGATGATGCGACGCGAAACCAGGATAAACTGGTTATGTATAGATTGATGTGTGGCCGTGTGTACATAAATAATTATGTAAGTATTTATAAAAAGGTTCCTATAGACTGCCAGCAGCACAAATCAAAGCATATTTTTCATAACATAACTTTATGCCTTTTTACCCCGAACGGGTAGGCAGAGGTGCACATTACGTGCCAATGTAACATTCACTTTTCACTATTTATGTTATAAATCCCATGTAATAGAGGGTGAGCCTATTTTCGGGCACAATTCCAGACTTCGTGCTATTACTGAGATTTTTTTTGAAACAATAATATTTTGCCCGACCCGGGAATCGAACCCGAGACCCCTTGCCTGACAGTCGCACGACCGCACTCCAACGAGGCAGTCAGTCGAGGCAGTTTTTTTTATCTGAAGGAGTTATTTGTGATTGATATACTTAATACCATAATGTAACACGTGTCTTATTTCCAATGTAAAATAATAATTGGCTAGTTTCCTAGGTTTAAAATAAATTGTTTCAACTTTTCAATGCAATAAATAATTAAAAAATAATCATACTCTCAGCCATTGATTTAACAATTTACTTACTTTAGGATTTTTCTCGCTAATTTTAATTTTAATAAAATAAGTATGCTAGGTATAATTGACGCAGAAATATGATGACGTCATAAGTTGCGATCCAATACAAAATTCATTGAAAGTATCGTTTTTGACATTTCAATAAAAGTATTGAATTTGACTACCCGTCAACTACCCCGTATTGTAATGTACGGTCAAATGTCAAAAGTCCACTACCACCGTAAGACTACTATCGGTTGCGCTGCAGCGCTTATACACACATGCACACGCATATTGTTACCCACAGTGTTGCAGCTGTTTGCTTCACAATTTTAGTTTTGGCAATTTACCATGTTAGAGAGAGGATCATCTCCATTTGTAGTAGTTTTCGCGTCCAGTAAGTTTATTGCACTAATAATACGTAGGCACTACAATGCTATTGTATCATGATAGGCAAGTACTTACATCTAAATCCCTGTGATCCGATATCCTTAGAAGAATTTCTCTGATACATTCTTCAGGTAAGTCGTGAAGCTTCGGCACTACTTCTGGTCCCGGCTGGAAGATAAAAAAATTGTTTCAAACTTCGTCAGTGGTCGCGAACGTTACTGATATAAAAGGATCTCGATTTCTAGGTAAGAAGGTAAAGATGGCAAAGAATTATAGGAATCTTGGATTTCTGGAAATACCTAACTAATATCAATGAACTTATTAGTTGAGACAGTCGAAAAAGTCCTGATGTTTTTCATTTCCCGATGAAGAGCTTCTAAACAAGCTGAACAGATTTATCTTTGGTTTGGTGTATTGTACCTTTGTTAGGTTCTCGATTTAACTACGAATGTTCGAACAAACGACCAGGCGCATTGAGTGCTTCAACCATTTGGAGCACTGCCAGAATGCCCTTAACAGAAAATAGCACTAAATGAGCGGTTCCCTGGCGTTCGGACAAGATAGATTGTCCAATTGCTGTCCAAAATAAAGCTTTTGTGAATTTTATCGCGAACCAAAGATATATGAGATTGCTGTAATAATGTTATTTGGCAGGTTTTGATCGATCAGAAGTTCGCAAACAGGAAGGAAATACACAACAATGAGGATTAAGTATTGAAAAGAAAAAGACATGTATTCATTTGGCTGAAGGATGGCAACGCTCCCTAATAAACCTGAACCGTTTAAACTGCGATATTCAACTACCTAAAAGACATGGAAATAATGACAAACCGTCTTACGCAAAGGAATCCCACAGTTTAGCAGTCAAACGAAAAAAAAGTCAAAGGCTATGAACTAAGCCTTTAGACCTAACGCGAAAAGGTGAATGACATTTTTTAAACTATCGATTTATTAAACCTTGATAGGTTGTGGTTGGTGGTTGTAGTGTGATCACCACGCACACTATTATTCATGCAGTTAGCAGTAATAATAAATGGCATCTATCAGTGATTTATTAGTGACGTGTTCATTTGGCACATCTTCTAATTTGGGGTCGATATCATTGCATGTAGGTGCATTGCACTCTACAGCAATACTTAAAATACTAATACTAATTCTGTTATTCATATCAATCAATTCGTCTTTATTCGTTTGTAAAATCGAATGCATGATAATGTAATTACTTCATTCATCATCATTATCAGCATGATGACTACCTACTGTTGAACCTTAGGCCTTCCAAGGAGGGGTCCATTAATCCTTAAGGACAGGCCCTAGAAGGACTTGATCTGTCCCTACTCCTGTGGGAAAAAAGTCATCTGTTGGAGTTCTTATAATCATTCAGCCAAACATCTTGCTACGTGGAGACGTATTACAAGAGCGTACGACTGAGAGAAGCAGAAAAGGAGTTCTTATTGGAGGAAAGGACTCTTCTGACTACTAAACATGTGCTACTAACCTCTTGTATCCTAATACTATTGGCGATGCGGTTGATCCTCGCGATGGCGTGGTCGTGGTGGCCCCACAGCGCTCGCGAGCCGAGCGGTCGGCCCCAACACGACCGCTTCTCCGATTCACGCGCAGATGACACAGACATCACGAGCGCGCGGAGAGCATTCAAGTTATGTTTTGATGTTGCCACTGGAATTAAGTGGTGATTGTTAGACTTAGGATGCATTCGGAACACTTTTGATAGTCGAATGGTCAGTTGATGAGAGAGTTAAGTCAAATTGATCGTTTACAAAAAGGTGGTCTGTCTGCTTATTTGCCCTTTATCCTAAAAAGTATCCGAAGGTAATGTCAAGTCCACGACGGTAGGCACTTGGCTTACCCAGAATTAGGTTCTAATCTCCATGACATTCTGAGATTTTCTAAAATTAAAATAGGCCTAAGTAATACATCAATTTGACTTAATTAAATCTAACTCGATACGAAAAAACTGAAGATTTAAAAAAAGTTTAAAGATCATGGAGTCAAGTCTCTCACCTTGATCAGCAAGTTGCTCCAACATGGACAGTAGCAGTTTCTGTGCAGCTCCAGGTAGGTGCGTGAGTCTCTGGCCGCCGACCAGCAGTTCTAGAAGAGCACAGATGTAGTTGAAGCGTCGGACATCACGCACTGCGGATGAGAAGTCCAGGCGACGCACCGCTTCCGATAGACCGTTGAAACCTGCAATCTAGAATAGAAAGATAAAATATTAGTATATTATAATTTAAGGATCCTCTTATCTCGTTTGTATACGAGCGAATAATAAGACGAGGACAAACAGAAAAAGTTAAGCCTAATAGAAACTCTATAAAAATATTAATTTAAAAAACCACGGTGCAGAAGAAAAATGCCCAGTTTTCTTAATGGACACTTGGACAGGGTAGATAGGCATCGAATTTCAGAGGTCCTTTACTGACAGACAGTCAATGTATAAATCAATACGTGCATTTCTATACAATTAACTAAAAATTAACACTTAAACGACTGACAATAAAGACCATAATCCTGCTAAAGATTGAATCTATTATCCGCTTTATCCAAGACTCGGTAAATTTTCTGAAGATAATGCTATATGAAAAGCAATATCATGTTAATTTGGGGACACATAAAATAAAACGGAGTCTCTGATGCCGTGAAGAAATCTCATAAAAAAGTTATCAAATCAGTCCTTAAACCCTTGCTATCGTAAGCTATCGGTTATCAGTGAAGAGGGTTGGGAAGAAAAGGATTTATTAGAAGCAGGGGACCATAATGCTCTAACCTTCTCCATGTGAGAAGAGGCTTTGCTCAGCAGTGGGCATTTATAGGCTGTTGATGATGAGGGGACCATATAGCGGAGTTGAGGGGCTTAGGATGTGGCCAGTATCTAATCAGAAAGCTTGCTGAAGTAAGCATACATGGGACAGTTTTAGTAGGCTGTAATTTCTTTGGTATATTATAAGCTAACCCTTATTGTAGTCACTGTGGAATGATATGGACTGTTGATGTTGACGTAATTTAAAGGCACTCACCTCTCTGGTACATTTGATTGTGATGTGACAGTGTGGAGGTATTCTGTTTACTCCATCTGAGCTCTTTTCACTTTCCTCACCGTCTGAAGACCTGCAAACATGATAAAAGTTAAATAGAAGGTAGTATACAAAAAAATCACTTCGAAGTAAAGATTGACTTTATTTGCATAAAACATACGGTCTTCTAAAGGTGATTAAGAATATTTCATAGTAAGCTTACCTATACGGTTTTTAAGGCCGTATACACGCGTGTGTGAGTATAGTATATCGCATAAGAAAGTCAAATAGCACTTTAAACGTAAATCCTAATAGAATCAGATCTCTGATCTAGTCACATACAAACACAATTTCTCTTAGATATCAAACGAGGTTAACCTGTAGTCTATCCAATAATAAGGTAAATGTTATTTATTACTGAAATAGCCGAAGAGAATAGATGGACTGAAATAAAACGTGCATCATCAATACATAGTATGAGGACGTCGACATGTTTTTTTAGGGTTCCGAAAAACAAAATCAGAAAGGAATCCCTGGAAGTAGGGGATTTTGGTGTTATCTATTTTGAAAACCGATAGCATACCGGATCTCAAAAAGTGAAGAGAATCGGTAGTTTAGATAATTTTTGTTGTTAAAGGTTCTATCCTCGGCTAGCGTCGGTTATATTCTGAATTTTTATAAGAGGATCAATACCAATCGTACCTTTGACCTAGAATCATGAATTCAGTAAGTACAAAGCGCAGTTATCCTTACTTCCTTACTTATATTATAAATCGGAAAGTGAGTTTGTTTGTTTGTTTGTTCCGCTTTCACGACGTAACTCCTGAACCGATTGCTTTGAAATTTTGCAGAGGTAAAGTTAGAAGTCTGGATTAAATAATAGGGTATTTTTTATCCCGAAAAAATGTGATATTCTCGAGGGAAAACAAAAGTATTGGCATAGATGGCGCTGTGTGTATTGGTATATGTCACATAGGTTACTTTTTATCCTTTTGTGACGCGAGCGAAGTCGCGGGTAAAAGCTAGTTGTAAATAAACGCAGGATCCACGAGGACCGTATGCCATTTCTACATGATGGACAACTTTTTTAGATTACAAGGACCAACAAAAATAGATGGAAGGTTCCAAAATATTGTCCAAGCAAAATAGGTCGTTACTAGTTCGTTAAGCGTGACCCATATATCATGTCCAGTGTTATAGACCGATGACCGCGATGATGATAAGCCGGTATCGGGGTCTCATTAGAGTGGCCGGTAGCATCGTTCGCAGTGCCTTTGTATTCGCTTTGCATAAAACGTTGCGATGTACACTTTAAATCCGGATTAATGCATGTTTCACCTGTTCTAGACTGAAGTGGAATGTTTGTTATGACAGCTTTACCTAGGTAGGAGAGATCGATTTGGGACTAAATCTTTGATCTAGTGGTTATAATTAGAAGCCACATACTGACAAGTACTGCTGAGAACAATATTCTAGAGCATTTTTTTTAAGGGGGAAATTCATCGAATGACCGCTCCCGCCTGGGTGAGGCGGAAGGGAGTGTCAGTCTCTTACTGACTAAAAACCACCCAGTTCCTGCACGTCGAGCCGGAGCCCCGGTTACCCGTTAGGTTCTCCGCGAATATTCTAGAGCATTATTCGCAAATTTACACAGAATCAGCACAGAGAACGAATTGATTTTTGACTGAGTTTATTCTGCTACGAGGAACTTAGATTACATGGCGAGTGTTCGTTCAACACTAAGCTTAAACTTCTCTATAAAATTAATACAGTACCAATTTGCATAACAAAATTGGTTTTCAATTTCAGCATCGAAACTAATTTACCTCAGCAAAACTCAGCTCTTAAATGTGAAACCCGTGTAAAACAGCCAATATCATAGTACTGCTCATGCAAAAACAATTACGCTAGAGAAGCGGCACTTCGCTACCGTAATTGACTATCTAATAACTATATCTCCATGTATTAATGGCGGTTTTATCGAGCTATCGTAAACTCTTTTTATTACTAATAATAGGTGTTCGTCACATTTTTACGTTGACCATTAGAAAGTTCGTATACGTCATAAAAGGCAAATGTTGTGTAAGAAAAATTGTATGGACGTGGCATGGAGTAAGTACAAAAAAGCTTTTCACTGTTATATACTTTGATATAGGTATTCCGACTACACGTAATGTAGACTCCGTTATATGACAAGAAGTTTCTCAAAATCGGTAAAACAAACTGCTTGTTGAACTGTGGGATCCCCCTTGCCTTGGTTGAATAGACAACCAACGGGCTAATCGAAAAATCGGCGACGGATAAGGCGCTTAAAATATTCCCAAACACAAGGATAGTCTAGTAACATAATTTATTTTAGGCAGACTGTTGAAGTAGTAAAATTACTGAAATAACTCACGCTAAAATGTTGCTTATGTCCGAGGTAAACGCTCATAAAGTTTCGTAACATCTAACTGCTGTTTTGACTTGGTTAACGCGATACTTGATGCAAATGTTCAACTCCATAAAGTGTTGATTTTATGCGCATATTGGAGTGGTGACAATAATTACAAAACTTGAGAGTGGGGGTTGTGTGGTTGTGTATATGAAGTATGGGTATGTATCATCACGCTCTCTGCACTTAAGGGGAACGACACTAACGAGGGGTGTTACTTAAGACTTGATACAAACATGTCGTGCCGTTACGTAAATAGCTACTGTGGGTACTGTAGAAGCTTTTCACATAATGTCTTCCCTACTACCGATATTTTCTTGTATATTTTTGCAATCTTAAGTTGTCTATTTTTTAATATTCACGAATCTAATATTCAATTTCATAAGGTGTTGTTTTAAAGCCGCGTCATTTTCTACGAGGTAACTCGGCTATCGATTCTGAGTCCGAATCAATAAAAAAAATTGTAGGTAAATATTTTTCAGTTTTCTGTAAATTACGGAAATCCGTAAGTACGACCTACACGCCGCAGTCTTGTAACTAATTTTATAACGTGGCTTAACACACACAAACTCAAACACGTCATTGATATTATTCCTAATTCCATAAAACTCCAATAAGAAACATTGCTGTGGCTTATTCTGAAATACTATTATAGCCATATTTTTAACTATTGGCCGGAAACTTTCTCTTACATTGTACCTTTATGACTTCTGTGACATGCCCCCGAGAAATGCCACGGTTTCAAAACTACACCTTGTATAATTTAGACAGATGAATTGTAATTTGCTACTTAGGCTGGTTTTACAGTCACGCGTTTCGGCAGCGCCGGACGCGGCGGCGGAGCGCGCGCGCTCGGATATGTATTGGGGTATTAGTAGCGTTTCAAATTCGCGCGCTTGAGCAGCGCCGTTCGTTGAACGCGTCCTATTCGCGCGGCGCGGTCGAAGCGCGCGCCGCTCGTGCCCGTGCGCTTCTACGGCCATTGTGCGTTTTAGTCTCACGCCGTTGAGACGTGCCGTTAGGTACTGTTGTGTACAAAATGAATCACATCGATACGGGTCGAGTAATTGACGAAGTGCGAATTAGAAGATGTTAAATATTATCATTTATTACAAAACCTACTCTTTTATTTCACTTACCTTAGAGTAATCGCCAATTTTTCCACTGGAGCTATGGGGATGCGACGTATGCTGGATCTTCGTAAAGAAAACTCTAACTTGCACAGTAATTCGTCGAAACTGCTGGTTGATAGGCGAAAATATTTATAAAATTTATAACTATTTTCTCGTAAATCAGAGAAAGATGTTACGTGTTCGCCTCTCAGTAACCTTGTAGCGTTATAAGGATCAACACCTACTGTTCTTCGACGTTTTTGTTGCCTTTTTTTCCATAAAAAGTAAATAGCCAGTACTCTAACCGCATTGCCGTTCATTTTGTATCTGTTTGTACACGACTGTCTCACAGCAGCGAAACGCGCCGTACTAATGTCGTTTTATGGTGCACCGCTGTTCAAACGCGCGCTGTCCAACAGCGCGCTGTCCAACGGCGCGTCTAGCGGCGTGACTGTAAAACCAGCCTTAAACTGTCAAATACCGCGCGGTCATCGATGACCGCAACCTATTGTTCTTTAATAGGGTAGACGACTAATTTTTATTTTAATGTCCGTCAGGTAGATTATTTAAAAACATTAGACACGTATTTTTTATTTTCTCACAGAAACGAATAGTTTCGAAGATATATTGATTTGAAATGTCGCGTGACGTCACTTCTCAGTACATTTTATACTAAGAAATGACGTTTTAGCCCCCACTCCTAAACTTTGATTCGTTTTATCTAAGTATTGTTTTATTATACGACAAAATAAAAAAATACGTGTCTAATATTTTTTTATTACCTAACTTACGGACTAATTATATTTTTAATTTTCATACCCTGTCATCATCCCCATTGTGTCTATAATAACGGTACTCAACGAGTTAATCAAATAAGTTAATGTTTAGAAAATGCTCCAGGATCTTCATCTAAGCTGTTGCACTTCCAATCACTAAATCTCTAAACACTCCAATTTGTAACACGTCGTTGTGATTTCTCTTCAGACTGAAAACGCTCATTCGAATCCAATTTTCGATAGCAATCAGCGCACGCTACGAAATTGTTATAATTTATTGTTTTAAAACATGCAGAAGACATTATCGTATCATATTGACGAGATTATTAATTAAATAATTATAACGTAAACATGATATTAGAATATTATTTTAAAGTTGTATTGACTAGTTTAGTGATTATGACGTGGATGAGGTTGAATGCCACGTATAGTAAATCTCCGAAATTGCTCAGAAACGGAGGGAATCCTCGAGAAGTTTCCACCCTATTTGTCTTTCTGAAGTCACTTAGTCTCTCTAGTGTCACTGATAACTTTGTAGATATGCTTATAGTTAACTCAAAATCGCGGGTTACTCACGTGAATATACTGTGCCTTTAGCCAAACGCCACTTTAGCGCTTTACAAAATTTACGTCAATCCCATATAATTTGGTTTTCTATTCTACATGTAGACAAGCGCTAAGTGGCATTTGGCTACAGCTGCTGAATAGGCTGCGCGACGTCGCCGCGACCGCGCACGCTGCTCATGAGGAACCCGTCTGTGGTTCGAAACTA